GGATGGATGGATGGGTGGACGGACGGACAGATAGAAGGATGGATGGATGGACAGATGGAAAGATGGACAGACGACAGATAGATGGACAGATGGATGGACGGACAGATGGAAGGATGGACAGATGGATGGATGGATGGACGGACGGATGGACAGATGGATGGACAGAAGGATGGATGGATGGACAGATGGAAAGATGGACAGACGACAGATAGATGGACAGATGGAAGGATGGATGGACAGATAGATGATGGACAGATGGATGGACAGACTGATGGACGATGGATGAATGGATGGACAGATGGACAGACAGAAGGATGGACGGAAAATGGACAGATGGATGGATGGATGGACAGACGGACAGATGGAAAGATGGATGGAAAGATGGATGAACAGATGGACGAATGGATGGATTGACGGATGGATGGATGGAAAGACAGATGGACAGAAGGATGGATGGATGGATGGACGGACGGTTGGACAGATGAACAAAACGGACAACAATCCACACGATGGAGTGTTATTCAGCCTTAAACAGGGAGGACGTGCTGATACCTGCCACCACCTGGGTGAACCCTGAGGACACTGGGCTCAGTGACATGAGCCAGCCACAAAGGGCAACACTGGATGGTCCCACTCTGTGAGTCCCCAGAGGAGTCAGATCATAGCGACAGAAAGGGGATGGTGGGTGTCGGGGGGCTGGGGACGGGGAGAGATGGGGAGCTGGTGTTTCTTGGGGGCAGTTTGGGAAGATGAACAAGTTCTGGAGGTGGAGGGTGAATGAATTCACAATCAACATTGTGAATGTGCCTGATGCCACTGAACTGCCCACTTAAAATGGTTACAATGGTACATTTTATGTGTACTTTACCGCAATAAAAAAATTGGGCATAGGGTCTTTAAAGCAATTATTAGAGTAAAATGAGGTCCCTGGGGTGGGCACTAATCCAGTGTGACTGGTGTCCTCATAAGAAAAGATTAGGACACAGACACACACAGAGGGACGACCACATAAGGACACAGGAGAGGCCTCAGAGGGAACCCACCCACCCACACCTGGCCCTCAGACTCCCAGCCTCCAGGGCTCTGAGAGAATCAATGTTCCCTGGGCCGTGGTCATTGTTTCAGCAGCCCTAGAAAACTCATATACAGATTAAAGAAGAAACATCATATGACCATCTCAACAGAAGAATAAAAATAATAAAGTTAACATCTACTCATAATTTTGCTAGGAATTAAATTGAACTTTGTTTGAAAATCTCTGGGTCCTCTCCAGCACTCCACGCACCTGCTCCGGCTGCTCCAGAGGGACGATGTGAGCTGCAGGACAAGCCTGCCCTCCGCCGCAGCCTGTGCTGGGCCCAGCGACCCCCAGGTCACCCGGTGATGGGCCCTGTCAGTAGCAGACCTGGCCATCCGGGGTGTGGGGTCAGGAATATCGTTGTGAGCACAACGGGGATCTCGGCTCCACCGGGAAGGAGGCCGGCCCGTCAGACCACCGTGGGCGGCCCAGACCTCACCCAGAGACCCAGGATCAGGGGGACACAATTGGAGTGACGACAAGGGCGTGCAGTCCTCTCGTGAATGTCCTTGACCGGGTGGCAGTCACCTGGTCAGAAACCATAGAACATGCTACATGCTACATGCATATGCGTACGTGTGCGGCCACGTGGGCAGAGCGGCACGTGCACGTGGACCCACGCGTGGGCATGCACACGTGCACACACAGGAATGCACACACACGTGCGCCTCACTGCATCCCAAACAATCAAACGTCTACAGGACTCACCATTTAAACCAACACAACAACATAAAAATTAATCAAAGGATCTAAAAGAGAAGCCAAATGATTTGGAAATTCAAAAGTGCTCGCCTAAATAACTCCTAGGTCAGAGAGCAAATAAAAGTCGCCAGGACAGGAGATTTACAACCGTCCAGAAAAGGGAGACTGCACGTCCGCGGAGCCAGCTTCGGGAGGGGCTGGTGGGCAATTCACAACCTTAAATGCTTTTATAACTGAGCAAGAGAGACTGATAATAAATGCACTAAACATTCGACACGAGGAGGGAAAACAGAACAATAAAGTAAATCCACGGGAGCAGGAGGGGTAAAGATAAAGGCGAATTAATGAATTGGAAACAAGAAAAATGGAAGAACTCATCAGTAAATCCAAGAGCTGGTCCTCAAAATAAACAAACAAAATAAAGCAACCTCTGGCCAGGGAGCGAGAGAAGCGGGGCCATGAGGGCCGTGCACAAGGAGTGGGAGCCACGGAGACGCACTGACGAGCTAACACGTCGGATCTTCTTGATGAAATGGGCCATTTTCTAGGACAATATAAATTAACAAAAGTAACTTCACGAGGCTTAAAGGAGCTATAGCTGCAACTGCAGAAAAACAGAAAAAGCACATGACTGGACATCGGGTGACGGGGATGGGCTTCCTGTCCGACGTGACACCAGGGCCAAAGTCGGGAGGGCTGGTGCAGCCGGGGGGCCGAGGTCAGGGGCGCACGGAGAGGGAGTGAGGGGCTTGGCTCGCCGGGCCGCCGCCCCTGTGAGGGAACCAGGGCCCCCTCCCCGGCTGTCCGGTGGGCAGGGACGAAGGCTGCGAGAGCCTGACCCTGCTTGCCCATGACCTTGACCTTGAGGTGCAGTGGGAGCACTCTGAGCTTCTTCAAGCACACGGGACCCTGTGTGGGCAGCAGGAGAGCAGGCGGGAAGGGTGGCCTCGGGGCCTACTGCCCAGGCGGGCCCAGCTGAGGCTCCCAATGGCCCTGAGGGCTCCAGCCCCGGCCCCCCAGCCCCCTCCACACCATCTAGAAGGGCAGGCAGGGGAGCAGGGAGAGGAGGCTCTCGGAGACCCGCCCCGGGGGCTTGTCCACAACCGTGGCCATAGCGGTCAGTGGATGGCCATCAGCAGCCCGTGTCCGATTTCATGTCAGGATCACACTTGGGTATTTTGCAGCACTTGTCTCCAAAGCCAGCCGGCGCTGGCCTTCCACACGGGAAGGTGTTGAACCACAGCTTCTCTTCACACTACGCTTCCCGGGACCAGCCCTGGCGTCTCTCTTCCCCGCTGGGTGGTGGCGCTATTTCTCCAGGAACATGTTCACTGCTTCCAAGTCGCTCGGACCAGCCACCCTCTACACGGCCTGCACGGCCCCTCCGCGTTCCGTTCCGAAGACAACCTACTCGCCCCCTGGCCCTTCTCGGCAGGGCTCCCGACTCGTCCCTTCTGGCAAAGCGCCTGCTCTTAGGATTGCGCTCCCTCTTTTCCCTTCGGCTTTGCTCTTTCATTCCCCACATTCAGGGGTCAGCAAATGACAGTGTGGGGATGAAATCGGGGGCGGCGGGGGGAGACACCACCTGCGCTCTCAAAATCCAAAATATTTACTTCCTTTCAAGGGCATTTGCTGACCTCTGCCTCGTTCTTAAATCGGAAGCTAGGCTGGCTGATTTCCCACTCCTATTTCTTCTAATATAATCACGTAGGGCTATAGATGTCCTTCTTCCTACAACCTAAGATATATTTGACAAGTTTTGATATGTACCGTTTTCAGGATCATTCGGTTTGAAGTATTGTCTAACTTGGATGATTTCTTCTTTGGCCAATGAGTTAGGTAAAGTGCATTTTTAAATTTCCCAAACACACAAGGTTTTGTTTGCTATCTTTTTGTTATCAGGGTGTGGCCAGAAAATATGGTATGGGTGATACCGACACCGAGGCCCCTTCCCTCCCTCCACCCGTTACTGCCCCGCAGCCCACGGCCGGGCTCTGCTCACACGGGGACCTCGCCCCCACCCCACCCCAGCCCCAGCGGATCCACAGGTCAGCCCCGGAGCGAAGATCTGAGTGGGGGCACTGGCTCTATGCAGGTAAGGACACAGAGCCCATCTCCCGAAATTCAACCCAAAACACAACCTCCCAGTTGTGCTGGAAATCCAATGCAGGGATCCCGGGACCCAAGTCATGTGCCCACCAAGGGCCTGCCTGTGGGTCCCGGAGGCTCTCTGACCAGGTGGTGGCTCTGGGGACACTGGTGATGCCCGTGGGCACCAGCTTGACCCCCAAAGGCCCCTCTCAGAAACTGCCAAAGCCTTCTTTGCACTGCAGGTGGCCCGCAGGCTCGGGTCCCACACCAGACCCACACGTGGCCAGACGTCTGCCAGCCCCAGGAGGCCGCTGAGGACTGAAGGACCGAAGGGCTTCGCGTCCCAGGGGAAACGGCTCTGCCGCACCTGGATCATCTATCTCTCCTCTTCGGGTTAAAGCCGGACAGCTCCGAACAGCCCCCCACCCCATCCAGGCAACACCCCGGAGGGGCCCAGACACCAGCATTTTCTAAACTGCCCATGGTTGAGACCACTAACTGGCCAGGCGGACTGTTCTAGAACAAACTCTGTCTCTGACGTCTGACTCTGGCCACAGCACGTCTGCTGAGACGCAGGGCACCTGCTCCCTCAGGAGGCCCGCCAGCGAGTGAACAAGATGAACTGGGCACCTCTGGAGCCTCAGGGACCCTCGGACTACAGCCTAGAGCGGGAGGAAAAAAGTTCCTCGACAGTCACTGGAGAAGCCACGATGGCCACTTCCGACTCCCAGGAATGCACGTCAGCCACGCGGCAGGAGGTCAGTGCAGGGTGGGCCTGAGGGATCGGCGGTGGGCCGTAGGACCCCCCATCCTGCAGGGAAGGGGCCAGCGGGCAGGCCCAAGAAAGCCCGGTGTCCTGCAGACCGGCACCTCCTGTCTACGTCCGCACCAGGGACGGCGGTCCCCGTGCATGGCTGTGAGCTTGGAAAATGTTCTCGGCAGGGGGGAGATCAAGAAAATTTCTCTGAAGGTTATCGCTGTTTTCCTTCACTACCACAAACTGCGCCCTCCTACCCAAAGCTCCCGAGGTCAGAGTCTCAGGGAGAAATCCCCCATGTCATTAAATGAAAACCCTGTGCGCACGAGACCCACAGGCCCGAGGCCCAATTGCTTTCAGCCAGAAACAAACACGGGGAAGCAAACGCCTTTTATTGAGGTCAGACCAGGTGCCGCCAGGACCACCATCCCAGAGCTCCTGAGCACAGGTACCCACCGCCTGGCGCTCCGAAGGAGACGGGCAGCGGCAGGCTGGCTGCTCAGCACTCACGGACCCCCGCGCCCTGCACGGCAGGGGTTTCAGAAAAGGAACACACACCTGTGGTGGGATTGGCCCGCAGGCTCCTGTTCCGTAGAACGCCCTTCCGAAAATTCGTTCAAAATACAGCAGCTTTCTCCAGAACTGTAAAAGCCACAAAAATCCAAAACACTTCTTTAGGAAAGATTGGATCAAAATTACACCTGATGTTCAAAGTTCTGCGTAGCCCAGCTCCTGTCCGTGCGCCGGGAAGAAACTGGGGGCGGTGGCCCCGGGCCCCCGACCCCCTGCCGGGGGTCAGTTGCTCTCGATTTGCCCCAGGTCCAGCTCGCCGCGGCCGGGAGGGAAGACCCCCTCCTCCCCAGCGCTCTCCCAGTCACTGGGGTCGCCGCCACTCCCGCCCTCACCCTCAGCGGCCATGGGCTCCCAGGAGGCCCACGGGCCGGGGCCGGTGCGGCAGGGGCTGGGGCACACGCTCAGCGGGCTGGAGCCGGGCGTGACGGTGCCCGTGGGGCCATGTGGGGCATACGGGGCCAGCTTCACTTGGGTGTCATCCTCCTCTTCGTCTTCATAATCAAGGGAACAAAGGCTTTTTGAATTTTTTAAAGTCTGAAACAGAAAAGATACGAGCTTAAAGCATGTCCACGGGGTTACACGGGAGGCAGCGTCCCACTGACCCAGGAGTGGATCCCCAAATTCACATATAGCGTCTGGTCCCTGTGCATCAGCCACACACCACACTCAGGCCCGCCCTGCATGGCAGGCCTCCGGCGGCTGACCGGGCATGCTGCCCACTGAGACCCGACTCCCTGGATGGGCTGGCGCTGCCTCTTTCTGCCCCCTGCCCCCAGCCAAATCTTTGCCGGGCTGTTAAAGATGGAGGCTGCCGGGCTCTCCCCCAACTGCAGACAGAGCCGTCCACTCAGGTGGCACCTCTCCTTGGCGATCCCACCAGGGCCCTAAGACCCGGCAGGCCACCCCAGCCCTGGCGCTGGGAGCATGTACCGGCCTCCCCCCTCCACCCCGGGCCACAGCCCACCTCCAGACCACACACGACAGCAGCCCCCTTGGCCCGGCCAGGGCCCTGTCTCCCTGACACCAGCCCCCAGCCCTCGCCCTAAACTCCTGGCCCGGCATCTTGGGGCAGCATGTGCGTGTGGTCCACTGCGTGCCTAACCCCGCTGCCAGAGCGGCCTCCCAAGCTGGCCCCACGTGACTCCACCTGCCCCAGTGTGACCTCAGCGACTCTGGGGCCACACCCAGGCTGCCCCACACAGGTGTCAGCATGTGGTTCGGGGCTGCCAAGGAGCATCTGTGCATACGGAGTGGGGCGAAGCGAGCCCGGACCGGCCGTGGGGACACAGCCGCTCCTGCTCTCTGACCTGGGCCTCCGGCACCTACATCTGAGGGCTCAGAACACGAGCTGAGCAACTGAAACCCAACCGAAACCCAAACCTTCCAGAGCCAAGACGTGCCTCAGAACGACCACCTCTTTGGCTAGAAAATTTCCTAGAAACAGTCCCACAGTGAATTCAAGTAAATAAACACTTCCCCCTTTCAAATCAGCACTTTTAAGGAAATTATTTGGCTCTATACAACAAACAACCTGACTTTTCTTGTTGTTCTATAATAATTAAGCCACTGAAAAATAAAATTTTAATGATTCAACCTTTAAAGATACAACCGGTCACAAAGTTTGGTCACAGAATGAGGACCCATGAAATAACTTCTTCATTCAAATCAAGGTGGATGTGACAGTGGCGGTCACTTCTTGAGGACCTGGACTGTCTCCGCAGGGCCCCTTGCCTGGCCCCCGGCCGCCTGGTCTCGCTCCGCCCCTGCGCTGGTCCATGTGTGGACGGCGCTGACCCCACGGCACACACGCGAGCTAGCAGTGGCCGGACAGGTGGCGGGAGGACCTCCGCAGAGAGGTCCTCTGTCGCCGGGCCACGAGCCCATCTATGGGCCGCAGCTGGAAAACGCAGGCTCTGCACAAGTCCACTCAGGCCGCCCGGGAGACATGGCGGCCGCTCAACGAGAGCTGTGACCTGCACTCTGAGCACCAGCCACGTGGCCCCCAAAGGGGTGTCGCCCGCCACCTCGGTCAGGGGTGAGCACCACACAACGCTGGGGATGACGGGAAGCCAGGCTGTGAGGCCCACTCGGAGTGGCCCGGGCCACGCTGCCACGCGTGACCCTCTCCCCGGACAGTCCTGCCACTGCTGCCGTCACTCTGGTTTCAGGTCACCTGCATCGAAGCACGTGAACGCAAAATACCTTCTTGCAAATATCGAAGGTCAAGACTCAGAGTCCTAAATCAGGGGCTCTAGATGTCACAGGGCCCTTCAACTTGTGTGCCATCTGGGGGGACGCTGCAGCCCCAGAGCCAGGCCCCGGCTTCCTGCGGGGTACGAGCAGGCGCCCCGTGCCTCCACCACCCCAAGCCGACGTACCAGCTCCAGCTAAGCAGATGAGACTGAAGGGAAACTAAAAACGTGCCTGTGAACCACCCCAAATTCCCTTCAGCGGCCATCCGGGGCCCGGCCACCACGTGTGCACTGGCTGAGGCATCAGGCCATCTCCCAACCACAGCACGCCGATCTGCGCTCCTGGAGAGCACAGCCCCAGCCTCGTGTGGGAGCTCATAGCGTCTCTGCTCAGCCAGATCACACCCTGCCCACGGGGGCCCACGGGGGCCCACGGGGGCCCATGGAGGCCCGGCCGTCCCAAAGGCCAGGGCTCAGCAGGAGACCGGGGAGGCCCCCCGCTGCCTGCAGGCGCCTGAAGCCCAGCACCCACGAGTGCTTGTCCAACCAGGGCTCTGGCTGTGGAGAGAAATACAGACGCCCCAGCAACGAGAAGCCCCATGGGGCCCACGTGGCAAACCCGAGTGCCGTCCTCAGCCAGCTGAGGGAGAGGCCTGCAGGGCGTGGAATGTCCACACCACACGTGGGGTGTACACAAGCAGGGGTGCTGAGCGTGTCAGAGTGTGTGGGTGAGGGAGCTGTAATAAGGAAGCCGGCTGAGAAACAACAGGATCCCTAGACCGACCCCCTCCCCCACTTCTGGGCAAGCGCCCCTCCCAACCTTCACAGGAGTAGGGGTGATTCGGGACAGCTGGAGGGTCTCAGCCTGGGGAAGGGGACAACACGTGCAAACAGAGGCCGAGCGAACATCTGCACCCTGAGCATAGAGCCCCGGCCCTGAGTCAGCTCCCAGCCTGCCCAGGCGGGGACTGGATGTGTTCTCTATGGAACCTGACCCCAAAGCAAACTCAGAGAGATGGGGACATGGGGGCTCCCAGCACGCAGGAGACCCAGGTAGACCCAGCCCCCCCAGAAAGCTCAGGCCAAAGGGCCACACCCACAAGACAGAGCCCTCTGGCCCAAAACCCGGCCAACATGAAGTGTCACAGAACACCGTGGCCTCTAACAGGGAAGACAGGTGAGGCTGGAACCAGGGAGGACACAGTCTGGAGGAGCAAGCAGCGCAGGGGCAAGAAACACCCCCAAACCCAAGTCCACTACCAACGTCCCCGGAGAGAGGGCTCCAGCCCTGAAGTGGGGCAAGCAGGAAATCCCAGGCCCAGGAGGAGGCCCAATATCAGGATGGCTGGAGTCACAGAGGCCACGGGCACTGGGGCGGCGAGGGCCAGGGAACGTGCACGCACTACCTGACCCCCCACCCCGTAATCCAGGAAACCACCTGATAGAGCCCCACACTCGGCACCATTGACAAAACAGAGACACCGGGTCTGTCACCCAGAAACCCCAGAGTGCGCGGGGCAGAGAGGAAGCGAGTCCGAGCCATGCCACCTGTCTCACGGCAACGCTGGGCCGGAAGGCAACCAGCAGCACCTCCAGAGCCTGAAGGAAGCCGGTCCCACGGACAGCGGAATACAAACGCTTTCGGATTAACGAGGTCTCCCACGCTGCTCCACCAAATGAGACCGTGGCAAGGAGAGGCGCCAGCCATGTGTCGAGAGGGCTGGTGAGGAGCCGGACGACCCACACGCCCGGACACCGTGGCCTGCGTGTAAAGCCCAGGGCGCGCCCCCCACCCATGCCCCATACCCCACCACTCACAGAGCCCCTGCTGGGCCGCCTGGGGCCTCTGGGACCGCTCCTGTCATCATTCCAAGATCTGTGCTGAGCCCACAGGAGAAAGCTGCAGTGGGCCCGACAGGCACCCACTCCCAGTCCTTCCCCTACCTCATGCCCAGGAGCTGCCACATTCCCGGTGCCCCAGCCATCCGGACCCTGCGTGTCCCACACCATGCCTGAACTGGTGCCCGTACCTGACCGTAGCATCTGCTCTGGACCCTAGTGCCCACACCTGAGCCCAGCATCTACATCTGACCCTTAACACCGCTGCCCACACCTGACACCTGACCCTGGTGCCCACACCTGACATCTGACCCCAGCACCCACACCTGACACCTGACCCCAGCGTGCACACCTGACCCCAGCGCCCACACTGGACACCTGAACCCAGTGCCCACACCCGACCCCAAGCGCCCACACCTGACCCCAGTGCCCACACCTGACACCCGACCCCAGTGCCCACACCCGACCCCAGCGCCCACACCTAACCCCAGCGCCCACACCTGACACCCCACCCAGCGCCCACACCTGACACCTGATTCCAGCGCCCACACCTGACACCCCGACCCCAGCGCCCACACCGGACACCCCGACCCCAGCGCCCACACCTGACCCCAGCGCCACCTGACCCCAGCGCCCACACCTGACCCCAGCGCCCACGCCTGACACCCCACCCAGCGCCCACACCTGACACCTGATTCCAGCGCCCACACCTGACACCCCGACCCCAGCGCCCACACCGGACACCCCGACCCCAGAGCCCACACCTGACCCCAGCGCCCACGCCTGACACCCCACCCAGTGCCCACACCTAACCCCAGCACCCACACCTCACCCCAGCGCCCACACCGGACATCTGACCCCAGTACCCAACCTGACACTCGAACCCAGTGCCCACACCGGACACCCGACCCCAGCACTGACTTTGAAGTGGGGACCGGAGTGTGATCCTGAGGCCTGCTTGGAGTCCCCCCTGCCCACAGGGCGGTGCAGTGTTCACATTCATCACCTTCCACCCAAATGTAAGTAACAAAATAATACGGTGATGGAGTAAGAAGAGGAGGAAAGTAGAGTAGGCATGATACACCTACCACAGAACGGTTCAGCTTCGGGCAACGCTGGCGCGTAAGCAGAGGAGACGTCAAGCGCGGACACAGCTGCTCAGACTGAGAGAGCCGGAAGCACACGGGGCAGGGACAGGCCCTCAGAAGACGGAGCACAAGCCCCACCCCGCAGGCGCCCCGACCAAGCCCGGCCTCCCCACCCCAAAAGCCAGCGGGCGGCAGGGCCAGGCCCCGCACATGTGCATACTCACGCACGCACTCCCGACACCCCAGCGGCCGCGCTGCCGACCGTGCCTCCTGGACGGTGGCGACAGCTGCAGACCCCACGTGTTCTCCGGCGCCTCTTCCGCCACGAGCCCCCGGGGAGCGCAGCAGCGAGCATGCCAGAGCACACAAGACGTGGCCACAGCCACAGGATGGCAAGCCCCTGACTCTAGGGCCACGGATGCCACGGGCTGTTCAGTAAGTCCCAAATCTCCAACAACCACAACGGCCTGAAGGACAAGGGGTCCCTCCGCCTGCAGAGCCCCGCTCACCCGCGTGTCCCCGGCCTCCCCGCCGGCCACCCCTACGCTCCCTGACCTGGAGAACGGGGTCTCCCTCCTCCGCCCCACACGCTCAGGCCTCTGCCCACCCTGGTCTAGACGGTCATGAAAGGGTCGTGAACACCCCAATCTGTCCAACCCCAGCTGACACACCTGCTTGCTAGCTGCGTCCTCTCTCACAACTATCTCATTCAACCATCTATGCGGGGACTTTGGGACAAGATGCCACGAGTCACCACCCAGCCGTGCACTCGGGCCGCGAGTTGGTGCCCTTGTCCTCGCGAGGGGACCCTCCCGCAGAGAAGAGTCACAGCTAGCATCCCTGCCAAAGCCCCCAAAGCACCATGTGTGTGACAAAAATAGGCAAGAACCAACCCGCTTCTGTGGCAAAGTGATGGAAACCCACACTTGCCCAACAAGCTGTGGGTCCCCAGGCCCGCCAGGCCACGCAGGACAGGCCGGTGGCTCCAGGCAGCTGAAGCGTGTGAACGTGCCACCGTCCGCCCCCAACTGCAAACACCCTCCTTGACTGCTGAGTCTGGCACGGGGGCCACGCTGAGCCAGAGGCAGGGAGCTACGTGTCCAAACCACAGGCTGGAGCAGCTTCTCAATCACCCTGTAGAAAGCTGAAGATCTCCTGCACATCACAAAAGCTTCTGAAAGCCCTGAAAACACACAATTTCATAAAAGAACAGCACCTGTGCCCATTCTCTGCTGGAACCATGACTGATTGGCACATTTTCCATAATGATATTTTAATTTCAACTTTGAAACCTAGGCTTGCCAATAAACATTAAAAATTCTATAGGCTTGGGAGGGGGGATGGGTTAGCCCGGTGATGGGTATTAAGGAGGGCACGTACTACATGGAGCACTGGGTGTTATACGAACACAATGGATCGTGGTCTCTACAGCAAAAACCAATGATGTATTGTATGGTGACTAACATAATAAAATTAAAAAAAAAAAAATTCTATAGGCTTTTCTGTGGAAACAATTGCTTACCCAGAATGAGGATTCGGGGGCAGCAGTGCCCCCTCCTCACTGACCAAAGCCAGCCCTCAGGCCATGCTTGGCCCAGAGGAGGGCGGCCCTCGAGCCAAGCCACAGGGGCTGCTAGGCCGTCCCCGCCACGCGCCCGCTGCAGGGGGCAGGGCCGTGGGCTGCTCAGCCATCCGTGCACCACGTTCAGGCCTGCGGTCAAGGACCCTGTGCTCCCCTGGCTTCAAGTCAAGGCACAGAACCGGCGTGCTGAGGTCAGGAGCCTCAGGCCAGGGCACGCACACGTGGGAAGGATGCGGTCCCGCCTGCGCTTGCACGGAGAGCGAGAGCCACCGAGAAGCTCCTGTCACTGCCCACAGCCGCACCTTCACATGGACAACAGACGCATCCAAAGGCAGGCCCCGGGACAGCCACTGAAACCCTGCCACGTCCTGCCCTGAGTCTCCCCCACTGTGCTTTGCCCAGGCCCGCTCTGAGAAGGCTTGTGTCCGGGGCGCCTGGGTGGCTCAGCCGGTTAAGCGTCTGCCTTCGGCTCAGGTCATGACCCCAGGGTCCTGGGATCGAGCCCCGCATCGGGCTCCCCGCTCGGCGGGAAGCCTGCTTCTCCCTCTCCCACTCCCCCTGCTCGTGTTCCCTCTCTCGCTGTGTCTCTCTCTGTCAAATAAATAAATAAAATCTTTAAAAAAAAAAAAAAAAAGAAGGCTTGTGTCCATGTGAAGCCACCTCAAGATAAGGGAACATTCGGGGTCTCCAGCTACGAACCTGACAGGATGTGCCCACTTCCCACAACCAGCAACATGCTTCCTAGAGCAGACCCCCCACCCCTGGGCAGCAAAGCACATGAGGGTGCATGGGACATCTGGGCACACACATGGTACCCAGCAACGCTTGGGGCCTCTGCATCCCCAGCCGCCCCCAGAGCCCGATGGCCCGCGCCCACCTCCCACACGCATGGCAGCCGCCTACCCACAGCCTGTCCTCCAGCACTCAAGGGTCACATCCACACTTCCAGAAGTGTTTTTAAGTTTCCTGCTGCCTTGCGTTTATACACTAACCACAAATACCCACGAGTGCCCATCCCACTTGTAGGTGACATCAAGTTGAACACGCTGTGCCCCAGAGAAACCCACGGGTCTCGCCCAAAACATCAGTCACCAAACCCAGCCACTTAGCCCTTAACAGCTCGACTGCTGCTTCTACCCCTTTGTATGTTTAAGACAATGGAGTTTCCCAGATACCTGCTGATACAGTAAAAGGTACGCATTTAGCCTTTGCCCACTCCTGGTTCCCACCATCTAAAACCCTTGGAACTTCCTGAGTGCTGGGCTGAGGGGTGTCTTTTGTGATTCATAACGAACCCCATTCAACCACACCTGGGTTTATGCTAATGTAACCCCTGGGGGCCCCTAGCGGGCCTCAGGATGGGGCAGTGGACAGAATGACCACACCGGGCTTAGTGGGTTGGACTTTAAGTCCCCCACCCCCACACCCCTTCCAGGGACAGAGAGGGGATGGAGAGGTGGTCAATCTCAGTGGCCAGCGAGCTCATCAGTCACACCTGGGTAGTGGAACCTCCATGAATTCCCTGCCCAGGGGCTGGGGGGGATCTGGAGGGCTCCCAGGCTGGGGAGCACGTCTGGGTGCTGGGCGGGGTGGGGAGCTCTGCGCCCCTTGCCCCATACCTTGCTTGCCCTGCGCATCTCTTCCGTCCGGATGGTCCCGGGTTGTGTCCTTCATGATAAATGGGTCACGAGTTAGTATAAGGTGCTTCCCGCAGTTCTGCGAGCCGTTCTAGCCAATTATGGAACCCGAGGGGGGGTCGTGGGAACCCCGATTTGTAGATGGTGGGTGGGAGGTACGGGAGGCGTCTGAAGCAGGGGTGGTCTTGTGAGGCTGCAGGGTCTGCACTCAGGGCAGCTGGTGTCAGAACGGCGCCAGCTGTCAGACACCCGCTGGCTTCTGCAGAGCCGCAGACCCGTGGGCGGAAGACCGCACGCATGCTGGGCGCCAGAGACGGTCTAAGTAGAAAGCATCACGCTGAGATGCCCTCTGTTTCCAGAGGCGGCCGGGAGCTGGAGAAGGACAGGGCTGCAGCCCGACCGAGGTCTGGGCTGGGTGCTGGCCTCCATCCCCCAGGTCACCATCAGAAGTGTCCATCAGCTATCACAATTGCTAATAACGTCTCTATGCTCATACGTTTGATGATTCACAACATCAGGAATAAAAGAGCCACAAACGCACCAGAGTAAACATTTTAAAAGTTCTCTAAGAGATACAATGGGCAACTCTGTGCCCCAAACTGACACCTTAAATGCAATGCCATTTCCCAGAAAAGGGTAACTTCAGGAAGCCCTAGTAGATTGCCCCAGAGACACTGAGTGTGCAGGTCTGCTCACCTCCACACACCTCCCAGGCCGAGATGGTGTCCCGGTGAGCCCCCAGCAAACCTCACACGTGATGGCTCGGGAGTGGCTCATCTGGCCTGTTGAGCCTGCGGCTGACACAGCCCCATGGAGCATGAGCGTGCAGGGGACCCTGAGCAGAGCCGCCCAGCTGAGCTGCTCCTGGATGCCTGATCCGTGGAAGCCATGTGGGCTAAATGTGGGCTGTGACACAGCAACCCTGGTGGGGTGCCAGGCTAAGCAAGGCACCAGCCCGGTGAGGCTGGGGACTCGGGCAGAGGGGCTGTCAGATGCTGGGGCAGGCTCAGGGGGCCTCGAGCATCCAGGGGCAGAGGGTACCCAACAATACATCAACAACGAGGGAAAACGTTTTAGAGAGACAAGCAGGGCACCTGGGTGGCTCAGTTGGTTGAGTGTCCAACTCTTGGTTTCGGCTCAGGTCAGGACCTCGGGGTAAGAGATCGAGCCCCACGGCAGGCTCTGCGTTCAGCTTGAGATTCTCTCTCCCTCGCCCTCTGCCCCTCCCCCAACCCACGCCCACGCCGCTCACGGGCTCGCGCTCGCTTGCTCTCGCTCTAAAAAAAGACAAGCAGGCTTCCCACCTCCTGGGCTCCTTCCCTTGGGGCTGCCGGTGCCAGCGCCCCGCCCGACTCTGCACCCTGCCCTTCTGCGTCTGGCCGGCCTGCCCGCCTGACTGCTGGACCCCAGTCACTGGCCTGTCCCGCACCCCGGCTTGCCGACTCTGCCCCACGGCCTCCCATACAGAAGGGTGGTCATGGCCGTCCCACGCCAGGGAGGGCAGGGGACCCGAGAGCCACGGGGACTCGTGGGGCCAGGATCCGAGATGTCTGCCTGCACAGGAACGTGCATATGCACCTGCATGCGCACACACGCCCGGGGCTCAGGACGGCTCACCCCCGCCCAGGCGGGTGGTAACACGGCCGAGGTGCTGGGGACGCTGCAGCCTCAGGCCCAGCCAGGCCCAGAGCGCCCTCCCAGGCAGCTGGGCTCCCGCCGAGGGGCGCAGACCACCGAGGCCGGGGTGGGCCCATCTGGCCGCAGAGCCGCCCCGTGCCGCAGAGGGGCGCCCGCGAGGTGAGCGCAGCAGAAACAAGGCGGGCCTCACCCGTTTCATTTTCAGAAAGTCCAAGGACGGGCGCGGCCAGTGGGTGCTCTCCTCACGCCTGCGCTTGCGCCGACACTTCCTCCCGACCAGCACGCAAGGCTGTGAGCGGCACCGGAGCAGGCCCGGCCGCCAGCCCAGCTCGGGCGTGGACGAGGCGCTGCTGCCGGTGGAGGGCGGGGCTGTGCCCACTTGCACCAGGTGCTCCTGCGACAGGGACAGGCGGCGCCTGCAGGACAGAGCGCAGGGCCCTGCGGGTCGCCAGGGTGGGCCCGAGCCGCCCTCACTGCCGTCCGGGCAGCCGCCGCCGGCTGAAGGCGGCCGGGGCGCGGGGGACGAGGTGGGGCCGGCCACCGGGGGCGCGCAGCCCAGCAGCGTGGCACTCCCGGGCAGGCTGGCGCGCCCGCCACTGCGGCCCCGCCTCTTGGATACCGGCGTCCAGACCTTGGAGCTGCCGGGGCGCCAGGCGGAGTGGCAGCGTGCCAGCTCGTCCGGCTCCGACAGGGAGCGGCAGTGGCGCTTGGCAGGTGGTGCCGAGGGGGGCCCTGCGCTCTCCCTGAGGTCTGTGGCGCTCACGGCACCCAGGCCTGTGTCTGGGCCGCGTGGGCCCGTGGCCGTCTGACTCCCGACGGGCCATCCTCCACTTAAGACCTTCCAGGGGCGCCTGTCTTCTGAGGAAACACAAAAGAGAAGAGACGCGTGAGCAGGAGACAAGGCACAGTGTTTGCCAGGCCCCGAGGCCCCTGCCTGGCTGGGGACACGGCCTGACACTAAGCCTCACGTGGCTCCTCGGCCACAGACCGGTCAGCGCCGGCCCCGCCTGCATCCCCCCCGGTCAGCTCAGCCCAGGAGCCAGCCTCACTTTCCAGGGAAGACACGTCTCAGCGAGGCCAGCTCCCCACTCCCTGAAGATGACCAGAGCACACCGTTCTCCTTTCCGGTTCATGGACAGACTTGCCCTGCGTCACCCACTTCTCTGTCCGTGGCCCAGGCCTCCTCCAGGTGTGCGACCTCACCCGCGAGACCCCCGCCCACCAGGCAGCTGCTTCCAGGAGGCCGGCGCCCCTCACCTCCTCTCTGGGAGGCAGCTCTCAGCTTCCCGAAATTGGAGGCACAGCGACGGCACACGGCAGGCAGGGACCGTGCACGGGGCCAGGACCCCACCCCCAGCCTCCACTTCCTCCCGTCACGTGGCTACTGGGAAGCTCACACGAGACACTGACAGTCCGGGGCCAGCATGCGCACCCGCAGACCCACATGTGAGCGCACACCATGCACGCACCAGGGGCTCCCTCTGCCGGCCTGCCCCCAATGCCCTGGGAGGAGCCCACCCCAGCCCTTCCTCAGACTCTCCTCCACACACCCCTTGGGTGCCCAGACCCCGAATGCACCCATCAGGGCCGCCATCACGAGCTTTGCTGCATTGGGGGCGGGGGGCGGAGCCAGGCGAGTGGGTCTCCTGGGACTCCTCGTGTGGCAGCAAGGTGCACCATGAAACCCCGACTCCCACTGACCCGGCTGAGAGTCCGCTCAGCAGCCCCCACGACTCCGGCCACTCCGCAGTCACCACCGGTTGGGAAACTGGGCATGGAGGCAGTGGGACCCAAGGGAAGAGGACCCCTGTGGGGAAAGGCACGAGCAAAGGCCCTGGGGTGACCCTGGGCAGCAAAGAGGCAGGGTCAGACCCCCTGGGAATCCCAGTTGAGGACTGGCCCCATGTGCAGGGGGGCACTCCCACTGAGGACACAGTGCCAAGGGCCCGGTGCTGGGCTCACACTTCCTACCTCCATCCGTTCACACAAGAATTTGATAAAAAAAACCTTCACTTTGGTAGTCGGGAGAGCCACCTAACACAGCGCCCCTGCCAATGGCCGTGGTGCCCAGGGCTGGCAGAGGGAGGACCTGCACTCGAGCCAGACCCCAGCTAACACGCTTCACCCCAGCCTGTCATCCAGAGCCGAGGTTACCAGGAATGGAGGGCAGCAGGCTCTGCACACACACACCCACTTGGGTGGCCTTTCAGGTGGTGGGGGGCAGAGCCCCAACACGCACCGACGGCCCAACGTGGGCCACACGGGAACTACACGCACCCCGCGCTGAGCCTGACCCCACCCTGCTCTCCCTTCAGTGGCCACAGGGCCCCACAGGGCGGGCCTCGACCTCGCGCAGCCGGCACCTCTCCGGGAGGGCCCAGCGCCTGCCCCACTGGAGGGAGAGGCCGGGCCACGCCCCGACCGCCAGCCCAGCAGGCTGGGCATCACACTCCAGGTCCACGTCCACACCCTCCACGCACTGTCCCCGGCCCGCGGCCACAGCAGCTCTGGAGGACGGGTCAGGGCTCCGAACACTTACCGTTGCTCTCAAAAGGGAACAAATGACCCCTGTTGCTCAGTGTCCCAGCAGAACGCTGCAAGTGACAAGAAAAACCAGTATGAATACCATGGACGCGGACGCAGAACTCTCAACAGCACGAAGTCAGGGGTAGCGCGATGATCTCATCCCTGCGGGTCAGTTGTTTTTCCCCAACACTTCATTTTTTGGCAATGAAAAGGAAAAGCATGGACCCCAGCATACATCTTTTTCTTAATCAAGATTTTTTTTTTTTTTAAGATTATTTATTTATTTGACAGAGAAAGACACAGCAAGAGAGGGAACACAAGCAAAGAGAGTGGGAGAGGGAGAAGCAGGCCTCCCGCTGAGCAGGGAGCCCGATGTGGGGCTCGATCCCAGGACCCTGTCGCTTAATGATCCCAGTCGCTTAATGACTGAGCCACACAGGTGCCCCTTAATCAAGATTCTTAAAAGCCGAACAACACTCAGCTGAGGGAAGGGAATCGGAAGCCGCGAGCACGCCACCGTGGGCTCCTGCCCAGGCAGCCCTCCCCGCAGCCAGCCAGGGCCGCCCTCACGGCCTCCCCACTCAGGCCTCTCCTGCACGGACCAGCCCCCCGGCCAGGCCCCCTGAGGGCTGCTCGGGGTCTCCGCTGCGATCTGCCCCCACGGCACCTGAGGGGCAGCCTGGCGAGCTGGGACTGCTCGCCTGTGTCTGCTTTTGCGGGCTCCCCCTGCCAGGCCCAGGGGCGCCATCATCCAGCTGGGTCTCTGGGGCAAGCCCCCGGTGCTGTGGGGACACAGAACCATCCTGTGGGGTCTGGGAGCCATCGCTGCTCAATTGTCTCTGCCTTCCCACCTCCACCAGCGACCCCAACCCCCCCAGGCCTTCCCAGTGCCCACAGCACCCCCATAGCACCCCCCAAAGCCCTCCCAGTGCCCACAGCAACCCCACAGCACTCCCCCAGCCCTCCCAGTGCCCCCATCTCCCATGTCCCCCACTCCCGGGCTGGGTTGGCCAGCCGCCGTCCCCCAGGTGAGCACCAGGAGCAAGCACCTTCCCAGGGCCGTCGTCCCCACACAGCAGGAAACCTGAACAGAAGCACTGTCCATCAAGGAAGAGCTCCAGTGGCTCCACACAGGAGGCCCAGTTCCAGCTCAGCGTGAAGGCCCACGGCGGCCGCGTGGGGCAGCAGAGGACGTGGCTTTTGTGGACAGCACCTGTGTTGGGGAGTGGAGCAGGGCTAGCCCCGGGCCTCTCTGTGGGCCTCCACGTCCAGAACGGGCCTGTACAGCCCGCCTCGTGCTGAGGAGCCCTGACCAGATGAGGCCACCTCTGAACATGCCCTGAGATACCAGGGGGTGCTAAGACCACAGGCTGGCACCGAGGCCGGCCCGGCCCCTCCACACCCGCCATGATGCCACCCACCAGAGCCGAGAGACGGCCCGTGCAGCACGCGGCCTGCAGTCCACTCCCCTGAGCATCCTTGATGGGGGCAGGCCGGCTGCTCTGTGTAAGCCTCGGTCTCCCCACCTGGGGCTGGAGTGAGAGTGGGACGCACATGCAGGGCGGCCCCTGGGCAACGAAATCCATCGACTGACGGTGGACAAAGGGCAGCCATTTCCAGAAAGGGCGCTGGGTCAACCACACATCCGTGCAAAAAAAAAAAAAAGAAAGAAAGAAAACCCACTCTTGGCCTGGTCTCATCCCACACACAAGACTCAGCTCCAGGGAGAGTGTAGTCTTCAAGCTAAAGTAAAACAGATGCTTGTAGAAGAAAACAGGAGAATAACTTCAAGACTCAGGGTAGCAAAGATTTCTTAAGTGAGATACAAAAACACACTAACTTACAAGGGTGCTTCCGTCTATGTTGAAATTAGAATTTCTGTTCACTGAAAGTCACCCGTGACAAGGCAAACCATAAGACAGGAGAAAATATTTGCAAAATATTTTCAAGTCAAAAAAGACTCATAGCAGGATGTATCAACAACTTCCTACAGATCAGTAAAAAAAAGGCACACAACCCGACAGAAAAATGGCCAAAGGCCTAAGTCACTCACAACTGGCCCCTGGGCAGCACAAGAGGCGCAATCCTCCTCGTCATCGGAGAGAGCGGTCAGAGCCTGGGAAGAGCCCAAACGTCCATGGGAGGAAGACAGAGACCGCCCCGCGGAGGAAAGGAAGGAAGGAAGGAAGCGCCAACCACCACGGACCCGGTGAGTCCCTCGAGTTCCCGCCAGGGAAAGAAGCCAGACTCCAAAGTACAAGCTGCCGTGCTCCCGGGACGAGCCAGGCCAGGCCAGGCCGCGTGGGGCCCTGAGAAGGCCAGGACCTGTCTGGGTGGTGACAGCCTTACCAGTGTGCACCGCCTGCAAAACCCATCCAGCCGAACTCATCAAACCCAACCTGCCCATCCCACTGCACGCAACGTCTACCTCACTAAAAAAGTGTGTTTTCAACAAAAGGCTTTTAAAAGCCACACTCCCCACCCTCCAAGCCTGTACCTGCTGGACACACGGCCCCCCAACAGCCCACACCACAGCGAGCAGTGCTGAACCTCCTGCCTGTCCACCCCCACCACACCCCCAGCTCGCGACCCTCCTCCTCAGCCCCCCACCCCACCGCAGCGCCGTGGAGTGGGCCTGCTACCCTGACCTGCTCTGGGCCCGCCCTCGCGAGAACCGAAGCCAGGCACCTGCTCCCATGGGCCTGCCGCCCACCAAGGGTCCAGGCCTGGCCGCCCTATGTCAACTCTCAACACCCACGCTGCCTTCTCGTTCTACCTTCCACCAGCACAGGCTAGGGGCTCCCTAGGCTGCCTGCTTGCAGAGAAACCACACTCCCACCTGACATGTGGAGCCACTCCCACGTTCACTGAACAACCTCGACAGGTTCTGTTGGATCCTGCCGGCATTTCGGCAGTCACGCAGTGACTCCTGCCCACCCCCCTGCTTGCACATCCTCCTCCCCTGAGGCCCCAAGACCCCCCCTCCTCTGCAGTGCACAGCCCCCACCACACCTCCTCTCCTCTCTGCCGCCCCTGCAGCTCCACACAGCCCCCACCTGCGGTCCCAGGGCTGGCTGCGTCTATCTTCCCAGGAGAACACAAGCCCCTCGGGAAGGGCAGCACATGGTGACGCCACGGCCTCAGGTTGTAAACGAATGAACCAGAGAAGCTACAGCTCACTTGAGAACTGTAGGGTCAGCTTGCCAAGTTCCACAAATACCGTAGTGGGATTTTTATCAGAACTGCAACAAGCCTTCAGCGGGTGAATGGTACGCCCTTACGTGAGTGCAACCACGAAACCACCCGGATGCATCTCCAGGGCATCGTGAGGAGTAAAGAAGGCCCCTCCCCAAAGGTCATGGACTTCGCACAGATCATCCTTGAAATGACAAATCACGGAGATGGGAGAGCTTGGTTGGAGGGAACGTGGTGTGGCCACAGAGGGTCCACGTGGGGGACGGCTGACACTTGGGTTACTGAGTTCACTCTCTATCTGAGCTGCCCCACACGACAGTCAGCAGCTACTGAAATTTAAACTTCAATTATATAAAATATAAATTCAGCTCCCCGTCACCCCAGCCACATCTCAGGGCCCAATAAACACATGCTTTAAGGGGCCACGTACTCGGACAGCGGGGAGCATTCCCGTCACCACAGAACGTGCCCCCGGACGGAGCTGCCCCAGGTCCCCCACCCACACTCACTGGGGCAGCCGGCATTCGCCAACACGACCCAGTGCACCAGCTATGGAAAATACCAGAAGCCTGAAGACACGGGCCCGATTTCTCCAGGCGCTCACTGTCCTGTCTGGGCAGGGGAAGGGGCGGTGGGAACCGGACACAAACTCATGTGCTTCTAGGCCTTTTTGGTCACAGTTAGACCAGCCTACATCCCCCAAGCCTCACAGAGGCAATGCAGGAAGAGCCGACCTCACCCCGCTGATCAGAAGGCTCTGTAAGAGACCAGGGGCCTTTGCAGGAAGTGGGAATGCACCTGAGGCCAGAGAAAAAGGACCATAAAATGAAGGAGCCAGCCCCACTGAATGGGGTGAGGACAGAGAGGACACAGGGTCGACCGGAACATCCACGGAGAGGCACTAAGCAGAGCATGGCCAGGCGCACAGAGCACTCCCCGCATCTGGGCTGACGGAGCGACGGGACCCGGGGGACACTGACCCTCGAGACAAACATCAGCTCTCTGGCTGACAGGGCAGAGACCCTCAAAAGGGATCAACCTCTCAGGACTGGATGAGGTGCCCTGTTGGGCCTCCCGCTCCCACCACCTGCGCCTGACCATGCGGCATGTGACGGTCCTCGGGGAGGGATGCGTGAGCGACCAGAGTGGCACAAGGCTACAGAGACAAAGGCACCAAATGTTTAGTGATTTCCAATTTTATTTACATTTAACTATCTTGAATTTCAGTTTTAAAACTAATAATTCAATTTTTTGGAAAACTTCTCAGTGTGCTTAGAACAACTGGAGTATGTGAAATCTACGTTTTCAACTATAGATTTCATGAAATCTAAATACAGATTAGATATTCCTATAATGAAAATTGGTGTCCAAATGGAGATCTGCTGTAAGTGTAAAGTACACACTAGGTTTCAAAGACTTTGTTTTTAAAAATGTAAACGTTTGACAAGGGTGCCAAGCACCACTCAAAGGGAAGGAAGAGTCTTTTCAACAGATGGTGCTGGGTCAACCGGGATCCACACACGAAAGAACAAAGCTGGGCCCCTACCTCACACCACACACTAAAAGTAGCTCGAAAGGGACCAAAGACCCAAATGTAAGAGCTGAAACTATAAAACTTTTAGAGGAAAACGTAGGAGTAAATCTTCATGACCTTGGATTTGGCCAAGGATTCTTAGATAGGACACTAAACGCACAGAAGACAAAAGGCAAAAGAGATCGGCCGGACGTCGATAAAATAAAAGCTTTTGTGGTTCAAAGAACGCCATCAAGAAAAACACCCACGGGACAGAAAAATGTTTTTTCAAATCACATATCCAATTAGGGATCAGACTATATAAAGAATTCTAACAACTCAAAAATAAAAAGACAGACAACCCAAATTTTCAATGGGCAAAGGACTCGAAGACCTATTTCTTGAAAGAAGATGCACCGAGGGCCGGCAGGCACGAGAAAAGCGCTTGACGTCAGCAGTCGGGAGGGAAGCGCAGCTCAAACCACAAGGAGAGAGCACCTCCCAGGGCGGCGAGACCCAAAACGAGGGACAACTGCAGGTGTTAAGGAGAAGAGGAGCGATCAGGACGCTCCCGCCTGGCGGGATGTGCGATGGTGTCGCTGCTGTGGAGCAGAGCTCGGTTTCTCAGAAGGTTAAACGGAGTCACAATCCGACCCACAGGTCCCACTGCTGCATGAACACGAAGAGAAACGAAGACGCCTGTCCAAGCAGAAACCCGCACACAAACACCTGGAGCAGCAGAACTGAAAACAGCGGACAAGCAGAAGCAACCCAGATGTCCACCGACAGACAAACGGCAGACAGGAGGCAGTCTATCCCACGGGGTCTGACCACGCCCAGTCCAGGAGAACTTCCTGGGATGAGGGGCAGCCATCGGCACTGCCCACTAGGGCGGCCACTGGCCACACCAAACACGGGGGCACCTGACGTGTGTCCAGTGCAAATGAAAAACAGCATTGTTCGTTACGTTTAATTCTCATTAACTCTAACTTCAATTTAAAAAGCCACGTGGAACTAGAGGCCGTCACACAGGGCACAGGGCGGTCTGCACAACACCCCCAGGACAGGGGACACCCGAGAAGACATCCGGAGAGACATATATGGAAGTATTCCGAGGAGAACCGTCTAGAGCTCGCCGTGAGACAGCGCAGGAGGGCCGTGGCTGAAGGCACAGACGGAACACGGGGCCAGGGGCTGACGGTGCCAACCTCAAGATCTCTAACGCTCGCCTCGACCTATGTTCAGATTTTGCCATGAAAATACTAACGTTAGTCCTTCGGAAACTTCATTTTCTATTCTTATACAACAGATTGGCTTTTTAAGCTGCCGACTCTTTCAGTGAACGTTACGAGTAGCGTGTGCTGAGACACGTGCAAGTACCTTCGGGGGCCGGCTCACGGCTAAACCGCTGACCCCCAGGGACACAGCTGCCAAGTTCCCTCTGCAGAGCTGACCACACTGTCCTTACTATAAAGTTACACTGGAGAGCCACATAAACTAAAAGCCCAACATCAAACGGGGGACAGAGACGACAGAGACTTCTTGCTTGAAAAGAGAGGGCCGTTTGTGCCTCATTTTTAAAAGTGAACATAGAAACAGCAGGTTTCTATAAACAAAGCGTCTGCAGTCAGGCAGCAGAAACCGTGCAGATGCAGGGACAAGCCTCCCCGGGAAGTCGGCAAAATGCCTACTGGTAACGAGGAAATTCTCTTCCAAACATTACGTCGTAAATGCACACAAAGTAAATCTATTTGCGTCACAATGGGAAGAATCACAGGTAGGATGTGTCTTGCCAGGGTAGTCTGTCTAATGAACACCTTCGTGTGGGCTCCGCTGACCCACAGCATGCGCCCCACCCCCACGGCGCCCCCCGCCCCCGGGGCCACAGCTGGCCCCACCACACACACCAGAACCCTGCTTCCAACAGCAAAATGGCTCCTCGTAAAATTCAAGATGTAGATTTGGGGACAGGAAAGGTCTGTTCTCCCACTTCAGGAAGAAAAACCTACCATGTTAACAGGCCATCTTCTCAAAACCACGAGTCTTGACAAACAAACAAATCACCCCCAACGGCAACAGAACGGAACACGGAACACGGAGCCCGCGGGCAGGGCCAGCGGGGGGAGGGAGGGCGGGCTGACCGTGCGCCCCCACTCCTGCGCGGGGTGCTCACAACGGTCCTTCTCTCTGTCCGAGGGGCGGCGTGTTCCCCAAACCTGCTAGGATTAGCCATGTCCGCTCCTCCGCGGGGGCCCTGCAGGCCCGATCCTTGGCCCGTCTCCCCAGCAAAGCCACACAGCCCCTGGCCACCAGCTCCCGGGCACACCTTCTGACGGGCGTGTGGCCATCGGCGGCCATGCTGCGCCACAGCCCCGGTCTGGCTTAGTCTCCAGGAAGAGGTTTCCGCACTTGAGCACAAGCGAAGACGGGAACACGTGCATGGTGGCCGCTGGAATCCCATCAGGGCTCCGAGCTCGAGGCCAGACAGCAGCGCCCCACAAAGGCCCCTGGGTGCCCCTGACCCCCCTGGGCTGCGGACACGGGCCCACCTCCCGTCCCTGGCACTCTGTCTGTAGCGCTGAGCCTCAGAACCTCAAAACCAGCCGCTGTGACGGTGGGCCCGAGCCCAGAACAAAGGCCTGGAATCACAGCTTCCCGCCGCCTCTGGGAGGCCTGACTCGCAGCCGGGCTGCACCAGCGCGTCTCTGGGCGCCCGGCGTCAGTGAGGCCGCTCAGGAGGCCTCCAAGCACCATGTGGGGCCGCACACTCGGCCACCTCTGTCCAGACCTACAGTCGAACCAGGACAGTCCTGAAAGTCATGTTAACACGACCCTGAAAAACGGCTCCACCTACTCGAACTTCAAACCCAAGTGACAAAGCTGTGGAGCCCACTCAGGACGGAGGCTGTCAGGGGGCCTGGTGCCAGCACGAGGGGCATCAGGGTGGGGGCAGGCGCCGCTGCTCAGAGAGACGTTTAACAGGTATGAAGGCCTGCATGCTGCGCACTTAGGATTGGCATACTTCTAGGAGTCGGCTGGACATTCATTAAAAGCTGGTGTTTTTTTAATGAGAAACCCATCATCAGGACGCTGAGGAGATGTGGGGGCTGCGCGTGCACAACACGGCCCCAGGACACAGCCCCCTCCAGCCTCCTCCCGCCACGTCCCCTCAGACCTTGGCCGCACATCCTCCGTCCAGCTTGGGCAACCTCCCCCAGACCCTTGGCGGGGGACAGGGTCCTGTTTGTTGCTGCCGCGGCCAACTTACCGGGCCAGCATCGCAGCTCTTGCGGGCAAGGTCATCCAGGCTCTGGTTCTGCAGCTTCTCAGTGATGAGTGTGACCATGGTCAGGGACCCGTGTCCTCAGTCTGTACCGATGGGCACTGGGGTTCAGAGCAGCAGGCTTCAGGAGGCCTGGGCCGCTGCTGGGTCAGAGCTGACCCTCAAGGTGGATTTCCGCTTTACAGATGAGTGATCCATTTCCAAGGACTCTTCAGCACTCTGCATCTGTGTTTGTGGGAAAGAGAAAGAAGTGATTACACGCAAAACCACTGGATCAGTGTTCCTGTTCTATGCTGAGTACTTTGTGTGCAGAATATTTGTTACCTCCGCCTGATGAAAACCCTCCTGCTTTACAACTACCGTATGAGCTCCCCGGGAAACTGTACTAGGAGTGGCATTCTGGTGGAAGGACGGAGGTTAAGTGCACACCTGAGATCCAGTCCTCCCAAAGCCCCGGTGGAAGCAGCAGAAAAGGCCACCCCAGCCCCGCCCCGCAGTGGGCAGAGCAGACAGGAGGAGAGACATGGGGAAGCTGGACAGTGGCAGGAAGCCACATCCTACACCCGAGGAACAGCTGGTTGAGAACTACTGAACCCCCATGCACCACTGTCCCCCCTGCAGCGTTACACACCCCTCCCCCACTCTGTCCAGCTGACCCCGCGTGGGAGGCACAGGGGGTGCAGAGCCCGGCCCCAGGCCCCTGGGTGGGGGTTGCAGGGGCAGCTCAGTGGGGGCGCGGGGCCCTCCATTCCCAGGAGTGGGCGCTCACGCTGCACCTGGGACCTGGCTGCCCACAGACACCAGCAAGGGGAGGGCCCTGAGCCCCCGTGTAGCCCACCACCCACCCGCCATCCCCAGCTTCCACCTTCTTAGCAGCCCGCTGCCAAGCGCGAGCAGGGCCACCTGCCTCAGAAGCCATGAGAGCGCCGACCAGACAGGAGGGCCCCAGCCACCCAGAGGAAACAGCATCAGTCCTGCCCTCAAATGGAGAAGGCGCCCGGTCCACAAAATAAGATCAGAATATCCTTAAAAATAAGTATTTAGGGGCACCTCGGTGGCTCAGTCATTAAGCGTCTGCCTTCGGCTCAGGTCACGATCCCAGGGTCCTGGGATCGAGCCCCATGTCGGGATCCCTACTGAGCATGGAGTCTGCTTCTCCCTCTGTCCCTCACCCTGCCTGTGCTCTCTTGCTCTCACTCTCTGTCAAATAAATAAATAAAATCTTAAAAAAAAAAAAAAAAAAGGAAGCATTTAAAGAAAAACGAAAAGAGCTCTCAGAAATTAAAAAATGAGAGCAGTGACAGACCCTCCAGAATGTCGAGTTCGGGCCCCTAACCCGCAGCAGGCTTTGAGGGCCCCCTTCCCAGAGGCCTCCTCGGGCCCAGCAGACCATGCACAAGGCAGAGGCCCCACCCCAACCCCACTGAGTCACGCCCCAGGGCAGCATCCCTTAGGATGTCTGCACGAGCAACACCTCCCACACGGTGCCGGCAGCCCCCATCACGGCCAGAAGTGCAAGGAGCACGCAGCTTTACGGAAACTGCCGGCAGAATGCACCGGCGGACCCCAGCAGAAAGCCTTTCTACAGACGCTGCCAGAGACCAGCGAGACTCACACTCTCCTGCACCCCTGCATACACACACATGCACTCTCCACGGGAGTGAACAGACACTGCCCTAACAGTGCCCAATGAGATCCCACCACACACCAGTCAGAATAGCTAAAATTAACAAGTCCGGAAACTACAGATGTTGGCGAGAATGCGGAGAAAGGGGAACCCTCCTACACTGTTGGTGGGAATGCAAGCTGGTGCAGCCACTCTGGAAGAGTATGGAGGTTCCTCAAAAAGTTGAAGATAGAGCTACCCTACGACCCAGCAATTGCACTACTGGGTATTTACCCCAAAGATACAAAAGTAGGGATCCGAAGGGGTACGTGCACCCCAATGTTTATAGCAGCAATGTCCACAATAGCCAAACTGGGGAAAGAGCCAAGATGTCCATCGACAGATGAATGGATAAAGAAGATGGGGTATATATACACAATGGAATATTATGCAGCCATCAAAAAAATGAAGTCTTGCCATTTGTAACGACGTGGATGGAACTAGAGAGTATTACGCTGAGCGAAATAAGTCAATCAGAGAAAGACAATGATATGATCTCACTAATATGTGGAATTTAAGAAACAAAACAGAGGATTATAGGGGAAGAGAGGAAAAATGAAAAAAGACGAAACGAGAGAGGGAGACAAACCATGAGAGACTCCAGGGGCACCTGGGTGGCTCAGTTGGTTAAGCCTCTGCCTTCGGCTCAGGTCATGATCCCAGGGTCCTGGGACTGAGTCCTGCATGGGGCTCCTTGAGCGGGGAGTCTGCTTCTCCCTCTCCCTCTCCCACTCCCCCTACTTGTGCTCACGCTCGCTCTGTCAAATAAGTAAAATCTTTAAAAAAAAAAAAAAAAAAAAGAGAGGGGTGGCTGGATGGCTCAGTCATTAGGCGTCTGCCTTCGGCTCAGGTCATGATCTCAGGGTCCTGGGATCAAGCCCCACATCGGGCTCCCTGCTCAGCGGAAAGCCTGCTTCTCCCTCTCCCACTCTCCCTGCTTGTGTTCCCTCTCTCGCTGTGTCTCTGTCAAATAAATAAAATCTTTTCAAAAAAATAATAAATAAATAAATAAATAAAAAGAGAGACTCTTAATCTCAACTGAGGTTGCTGGAGGGGAGGGGGGTGGGAGGGAGGGGTGGCTGGGTGATGGACACTGGGGAGGGTATGTGCTATGGTGAGCGCTGTGAATTGTGTAAGACTGATGAATCCCAGACCTGTACCTCTAAAACAAATAATACGTTATATGTTAATTTAAAAAACAGTAATTAATTTAAAAAATAAAATAAAATAAATTTTAAAAAATAAAGAATAAATAAAACAGCATGCCCCAAGCTAGCCTTTTATGGAGTGGGGGAAGGAGGCGTCCCAGCAAGCATGGGAAGCAGCCCAGAGACAGCCCACCACCGCTCTGCACTTGGGCACCTGTCCAGGCAGCCAAGGGATGGCACAGGGCTCTCCCTTCAGTGGAGCATGTGGACGGGCTCACCAAGGGCCCCGGAATTCGTGAGCGCATCCCAACCAAAGGCACTGTGCACACTCAGGCTTATTCCAGGCCAGGAGAAACACTCACTGTCTGCGCTGTTCACCAGCAGCTCTCCTGGGCTCCCACCGTCCTAGCCAGGGACAGCCACCTGCCCCAGCACAGCCGGGGACCCCGAAGCCCAGGCCAGGGCCCGTCGGTTCCCCAGGGGAGCGTCTCTGTGCTCTGGGAGTGGCCCTACTTAAGTGCGTGTAGAACCAGGGAGCCAAATCAGAGCCAGCCAGCCACACCCCCATGCCTGCAACTTAGAACCTCCCTCACAGGACACAGGCGTTACCAGGGCCCCTCCAGCCTGACCAGCTCTGCTGCAGTCACACCCACCCACAACGGCCAAGGCCCTGCCCTTTGCCTCCCGTGCCTGCCTCACCCACCGCTCGAGGGCTCTCCCATCCTCCTGTCAAACCCTCCTAGCGGCACACGGCACGCACGACCCTGGAAAGCCTACCGCAGCCACAGCAAAATGTGAGGAAACTATAACATGACCAGCATTTCACTGGGAAACCAGGCCGCACGCCTCTTGGGGAGACAGCGGGTTTCCAGGGCTGGGGCGCGGACGAGATGCAGAACGCCAGGACGTGTGCAGAGAATGGGGCCAGGGCTCCCAGGAGGTGAGGGTTCCACTCCACAGAATAAAGCAAGAGCCCACGAGTCTGTACTGATGTAAATTTTAGCTGGCAAAGATCGGTAAGTAGAGGAGGGAGGCTCGTCCCTTGGGCAGAGTGCAGACCAAGGAGTGCAGACGGGATGACGGATTCCGTCCTTAAGTCAGCGTGTGACAAACACCCCAGGCTGGTTCAGGCAAGAGTCATCCGCGAACACCACACTGGTGGGTGACCCTCACACGGTGTGCAAGCATCTCCCTACGAGACACTTGCTGATGACAGGGCGGGAACCGGCCTCGTGTGCGGGGAGGCTGGCAGACGGCAGCCCCAGCAGCGCAGCAGGTGGGTCCCGGGACAGCTGACAGCGTGTGGCGTGCGGGCAGGATGCAGCAGCCGCCTGCACCCGGGGGCTCTGCCCGGACTGAGGAAAAGTCCGACAGAGCCACGCGGGGTGAAGCGCACGAAGGAACTGGTCAGTGTTCTCCCACGGTGTTGGGGGCACGAAACGGGAGTGGGGCGCGGGCCAGCCCGGAGAGGACAGAGGAGACGTGACAACCTCCCCCAACTCCTGACCCGGTCAGAGAGCGGGCTCCAGGGCACACGCACTGCAATCTGAACAAGCCCCGTGGACCGGACACCAGCACCGCTCGGCACATGACCCCCAGACCGTCCAACTCGGGCTGAGCGTCTGGCAGACGGGGGCGCGGGCCGCGGCCTGCACGGGGCACGGCGACACCAAACGTGGCACGCCACACTCCGTCACAACTCACAACAGAGGTTCAAAAGAACAAAATGAAGTGCACGGTGTCCGAATGCAAGGGCCGGCCGGCGTGACCCTGGCAAGTGGAGGGCCACGGTGTGGTGCAGGGCACATCTGCGGTAAGAAAGCAGCAGAAAAACCACCATGTAGAAGGGACTGCACCAGGCGGCTGGTGGCATCTTCCAAAAGCCGCAAAGATGGGGAAGGAGTGCCAGGCATGCAACAGTTTCATTTCCTCCGAGAAGAAATGCATGACATCACGTGTTCATACGGCAGGCCCCCCAAAACGCCTGAAACCACAGACGGTCCCGAACCCTACAGATGCTGTCAACCCCGAACAACACGGTTTGAACTGCGCGGGCTCAAAGTGGGGCTTTTTTTCCATAAATATAGGAGAGCACTAGAAATGTCTCTTCCTTATGATCTCAATAGCATTCCCTTTTCTCCAGCTTACTTTATCGCAAGAATACAGCATATAACCTGTAAGACACAAAATGGGTGTTGAAGAACTGTTTACGTCATCGGTAAGGCAGGTAGGTTTTGGGGGGTTCCTAGGTTCTACGTGGATTTTTGACACCCCTAAACCCTGTGCTATTCAAGGGATAACTGCACCGTTTTCTTCTGTGCATCCATACCTGTGATGAAGTTTAATTTGTAAGTTGGCACAGCAAAAGATTATTAACAAGAATAATAATAAACTAGAACGAGTGTAACTGTACATTGTGATACAAGTTGTCTCTCTCTCTCTCCACATGTCCTGCACTCACCCTTCTTGTGACGATGGAGATGACATAGTGCCCACATTTTATCATGAGGGGCACCCAGGTGGCTCAGTTGGTTGAGCAGTTGACTCTTGGCTTCGGCTCAGGTCGTGATCTCAGGGTCGTGACATCCAGCCGTGTGGGGCTCCCTGCTCAGTGGGAAGTCTGCTTGAGTGTCTCTCTCTACCCCTCCCCCCACGCTCTAAAAAATTTTTAAATAAGAATAAAGTCGCCCACGTGAGGTGAAGGAGGGGAGTGACATGGGCCTTGTGACCTAGCACCAGGCTACCGTGGACCTTCTGACCACACGTCAGAGGGCGGATCACCAACTTCTGGACTGCACTGACCGTGAGTGACTGAAAGCACGAAGGCAAAGCTGGATGTGCACTGGAATCTAAGTGTAGTAGCTTCTGGGGACCGCCGGGAACCGGAGGCCAGAAGTGGGAAGTCAAGATGCGGGCAGGGTTGGCTCCTTTGGGGGCCCCAAGGCTACGGGTTCCCTGCCTCTCTCCCAGCTCCTGGTCATAGCCAGTGATCCCTGGTGCCCTGGGCTTGCTCTTGCGCCACATGTTCTCCCACAGCCGAGTTCCCACGGCCGTCTCCCTGTCTCGTATCTCTGCATTTCTTCTTTTAAGGGCACCGGTGATCAGATTGGGGTCCACCCTAAAGCAGTATAGCCTCACCTTAATTTACATCTTAATTACATCTGCAAAGACCTACTTCCAAATAAGGTCCCATGCACAGGTCCTGTTGAGCCTGTCTTTTAGGGGACACAATTCAATCCACAATGCCAAGCCAGCTCCCTGTATAAGAGATCCAACCATCAGGATGGAACGTCATGGTCAGCAGAAGAGCCAGGGACGCAGCCGCTCAGGACAGTGTCCTGGCCCTGAGGGAATGCGCTGCCCTTGGGAAAGGCACGAGACAAACCAAGCCAGCTGGGGGCAGGTGCGAAGAGCAAGCAGCAGCCAACTGGTGCGGGGGGGGTGGGGGGGGTTCAGAGAAGGAAGCCAAGACTGAGGCTGAGCAGGAGGAGCCAGGAGACCGGTGGGGGCGGGCGGGGGCTAAGCCAGGACTCTGGGCACCGAGGCCAGACATGGGCAGGCCAGAAGCCAGGGGCCAGGTGAGGTAACGCCGGCCCCAGGGACAGAGAGGTGAAGGGTGGGGGACGGTGGCTCGGCCCCCTGCGAGCCCCCACGGGGACGGGCCCCTCTGGCAGCACAAGCGACCAGACGCCTCCTGTAGCCCCTGCGCACGAAGCAGCCCTCTGCGACCCCCCCGGCCCGGGACGCCCTCCTCCCCGACAACACAGTGAGGGTCGGAGACTCCCCACCTTCTACCTCCAAACCTCCCACAATGGCAGTATGAACACTCCATGGAGCCACCACGGACCTTATCACGTCCCTATAAATAGCACTCCCAGCTGAGCCACACGGTGCAGTCTGTTCCCCAAAGTTAATAACCTGCCTTTTCTCGCTTGCAAAGTCTCTGCCCAATACAAACTCCTCCCCAAAAGGAGGATAAAAGTCGACAAGCTCAGTTCGGTACGAGGCCTGGGGACACCATTTGCCCTTCTGGACCCCCAGCCTCCACTGAGGTGTGGGGGGCAAGCCCAGCTGAGCCGAGGACTGCACTGGTCTGGCAGCTTCCAGAGCAGGGCGCTCGGGCGGGTGGGGCGCCCACACCCCGTCCCTCCTCCCTGGATGCCTGGCGGCTCTCAGGGTCTTCTTTCTCCCCATGTCAGGGGTCAGGAAAGTAGGGGCACTGGGGGCGGAGTCTTCCTAACAGGATTTGCTGGCATCCCCGTGGAGTGCTGCTTGCCCGCGTCCCGGTCTGTTTGGAGCGGCTGGTTGTCTGACGCCGCAGGCCTGGGCTGGCCCTCCCTCACATTCGGTCTCAGCCCATCTGCTGCTGATGTGCTTCTAGGAGTGGCCCCCAACCTCATGTTCCAAGGCTTCCAGGGACACGCTTTATCTCAAAACCCCTTGCTGTCTGCCCGCCAGGGACCCGTGCATTTGCGAGCTGCCGGAGCGTGCTGCCGGTGCAGGCCTCCGGCGACTCCCTCGCCTCCGTGGCTACACAACCCCAGCTTCTCCAGTCCCTGCACTAGACCATCTCTGTGCCCTCGGTCCTCTCGGCCTGCTCTGGTCTCTACTTTCAGGCTGGGAGCTTCCTCTGTGCCTGTCATCTTGGCCATCCGCTCAGGCTGAGAGGGGCCCTGCGCACACATGACCTCAGGGCAGGGGGACTAACGGGGCCATGCCCCCAGGGCCACCAGCAGCAAGCTGTCCCACACAGAAGCTTGCAGAATAAAGGAACCTGTGCGGTGCCTGGGGGCTCAGTCGGATGAGCATCCAGTTCTTGGTTTTGGCTCAGGTTATGACCTCAGAGCCATGGGATCAAACCCTAAGTTGGGCTCTGTGCTCAGTGGAGAGTCAGCTTGAGATTCTCTCCCTCTGCCCCTCCCCCCACTTGTGCACACGCGCGCTCTCTCTCTCCCCCTCTCCTTCAAATAAATAAATAAATAAAATCTCTAACAATATACATAAAATAAACAAACCAAGGAACTTGCATGGACGACCAGGTGCCAGGGCGGCAGGAGCCTAGTGTGTGGATCAAGCCGGCTCTGTACGCAGCCTCTCTGCCTCCTGAGTCCCAGGCAGAGGCCTGGCCGGCCTGGACCCCTGAGCTCAAACCTGGGCCCTGGACCAGCTACCTCAGCAACTCCATGCTGGGTTCTGGAGCATGAAATGGGAGAACAGCTGCAAGTACCCATTCAGTCTGCTGTGCCCAGAAACTACCCCAGAGCACACAGTCAACAAGGGAAGGCTGAGTGGCAGGGCCCCCCAGGCTCTCGGTCTCCCCGAGCGCAATGACTTTGTGACTTTAGGGCGTGTCCTGCAAGAGAGCCAGGCCGTTGTAGGGCCTCTCCCACTGGAGTCTTGGAAGTCACAGAAAGCAACCCCAGGAGTGAAAGGCCAGAGCCGGGCCCGTTTCCCAGCCCAGGACCATCAGGTGCCCAGGGTGGTTTTCATGGAAAACAACAGCAAGCAAGCCCAGCAACACTGTTAGACCGAGTGCGTTCCAGACTCAAGGACCACCGTGTAGACTCATGACCCCCGGCTCACACAGGAGAACCGAGTCCAGGTCTCAGGGAGCACTGGGCAACAACCGGGTCTGGCTGGACATTAGCTATTAACCAGCCCTCAGTAACGTGCTAGTCTGAGCACGGGACTGCAGATTCTTTGGCACGGCTCCCGTAACAAGGAACGGTGACTTCCAAGACTCCAGTGGGAGAGGCCCTACTGCCGCCTGGCTCTCTTGCAGGACACGCCCTAAAGTCACAAAGTCACTGCGCTCGGGGAGACCGAGAGCCTGGGGGGCCCTGCCCCTCAGCCTTCCCAGCACAGGTACCGAGGCGGAGTGAGGATGCCCGCAAGGAGGCGCTCCAGCCCAGGCCCCGTCGGACCAACCCGCACAAGACCCGCCACCCCCCCATCCCCCCCCCCCCAGGCAAAGACCGCCAGACCAGCTGCTTGAGAATCCTGGGCCCCCGACACCAGGAGCAACAAGTGGTTACTGTTGATTGAAGCCATTGTTTGTGGAGGCCTTGCTAACGCCGCCAAACAAGTAAATAAGCGACACTTGACGGAGCCAAACGGAGCCAAACCTGCCTCCCGTTCTGCTGGAGCCAGGCCTCGGCATCACTCCTGCGTCACACAGAGGCTGGGGACAAAGGGAAAGGGGCCACGTCCTCACACTCACACTCCAGGGATGAGCCACACAGGCGGAGCTACTGCAGACCCCCAAAATCACTCAACTATTTTCGTTTGGTGGAGCCTGGGGTACAGCTCCGCTTGAGGGGTTCCGTGCCTTAACAGGGCATGCGGAGGCGCTGTCTTCAGTGGTTCCTGGAAAAGCCTAAGGCAAAGCCCTGTGTTGGCGCCACAAAGCTGGTGCTACTGGGACACTGGACATCTTTTCGAAAAGAGTTCAAAACAAAAAGACAAACGTCATCCGTCCTAATGAACCAATATCGTGCTAACATTAACACCTACAACTAGAAGGTTTGGACAGCCACACGTGGAATTTAAGGGTGCACAGAAGGGGCGCCTGGGGGGCTCAGTCTGTTGAGCATCGGAGTCGGTTTCGGCTCAGGTCAGGATCTCAGGGTTGTGAGACTGAGCCCGGCGTTGGGCTCTGCGCTCAGCAGAGTCTGCTTGGGACTCTCTCTCACTCTCCTTCTGCCCCTCCCCCTGCATGTGCGCGCTCTCTCTCTCTCTCTAATAAATCAATACATCTAAAGGTGCACAGAAACCACGTCTGAGGTGATAGCTCTGCAAGTCAACAAAGAAGAAACTCGCATCTTAAAATACACTATCGTTGTTCCCTCAACTGCTATGTGGGGACTGTACCCCACTGAAGAAAAAATGCAGCAAGTAACTTTATTCTGAGAGGAAGGCCGTAAGGCGGGCTCTGCTGGACGGGAAGGAGGACCGGGTTCAGCCTTGCTCGGCTCTCCCAAGCAGGGGACCGCACCTCCCTGGGCCCACCTTCCCGCACTGAAAACAGAAAGGAACCACGCACTTCACGAGGCCACAAGCAATCACATGACGTGACACACGTGAAAATGCCCAGGTCCCTGGGACGTGTTTAAAATGGTGGCTACTCAGAGCAGATGCTCAAAAGACTGAAAGTCAACTTCCCTTCAAGAAAATTACTGCAGAGGGCGCCTGGGTGGCTCAGTTGGTTGGGCGACTGCCTTCGGCTCAGGTCATGATCCTGGAGTCCCGGGATCGAGTCCCGCATCGGGCTCCCTGCTCGGCGGGGAGTCTGCTTCTGCCTCTGACCCTCTCGTGCTCTCTGTCTCTCATTCTCTCTCTCTCAAATGAATAAAATCTTAAAAAAAAAAAAAAAAATTACTGCAGAAAAAGCCAAAGTGGTTTCTATAAAAATTTCAATTTGCTTTAAAAAAAAAAAAGCCTGAGGGCACGTGGGTGGCTCTCAGTTGGGCATCTGCCTTCGGCTGGGGTCATGACCCCCGAGTCCCGCGATGGAGCTCCGTGGGGGGGTCTGCTGCTCCCTCGCCTTTTGCCCCTCCCCCCAACTCGCACTTGCTCTCTCCCGAGCTCGCTCTCTCAAATAAATAAGTAAAATCTTTTACAAAAATAAAATAATTCTTAAAAAGTTTGTTTCGAATGTTTCCAAGGCACCTGTGAAAAACATCGACGTGTTCTCTTGGATCTGCTGCCTCCCGGTAAAAAGATGCCCGCCCCTGTGCACGTAAGGGCACACGAGCAATGTGTGTAACTAGGTAAGGTCCCCATACACCCACTTGAACGAGAGTGACAGTAACTTTGGTGTGTCCTCCGCTCTGTGTCTGCAGTCGCCATCAGAACTGCTCTTTTCCACGGCGCCCAAATCCAACCCGAGTCGAGAAATCCCGGGCTCCGCTGCCCCGCAGCAGTGGCCGCAGGGCCCACCGCAGCGCCGGGCTCCCGCACCGCCGCGCACTGCCCGCGGCGCACAGGGGGCTCCGGGGGCCCGAGGGCAGCAGACCCGGGAGGCGCCGGGGACGGAAAGGCACGGAAGGCCGCAGCAGGGCGGCCTCAAAGGGCCGCGGCCAGGAGCGGCGGCGCGCGCGAACCCAGCGCGGGGGCCAGGGCGCCTAGCGAGTCCCAGCGTTCGCGCTCTTCCCGGAGCTGTCACCGCCCTTCTGGGGCCCGCTCGCCTCCGGGACACACTGCAGGCCGTGCGGCGGCCCAGGGCTGGTGGAAGCGGCAGAAGCCACCACTTCAGCGCCGCGCGGGGAGCCCGTTCCTGGGGCCCGACTAACCCGTCGTCCGAGGCCCCGCGCGCGGAGACGCGGCACACCCAGCGCTCCGTGTCGGAAGGGACCGTCCGTCAGGCGGCGGGCGCCCCGCGACGAGCGCGCCCTCGAGCCCACGAGCCCCGGCCCACCCGGCCGCCCCTCGGTCGCGGCGGAAGGCCGGCCTCCGGGGCTCCGCCGGCTGTCCCGCCCGGCTTCCCGCCCGCTGCCGCTCCGCCCCCCGCGGACGCGGCCCCTGCAGCCGGCGGGGCCGGGAGACCCGACGCCGGGCCGCGAGCCCCGGGCCCCGCGCCCTCGGCGCCCCGCCCGCCCGCCCCGCTCTCCGAGTCCAGCCGCGGAAGCGCTCGGCGCCGACGAGAACGTGGGAAAGCACGGGGCCGCGCGGGCAGAGCTCTGCGCGCGGACAGCAGCGGGGACCGTCCGGCCCAAGCTCACGCGCGGCTCCGCGCGGGGGGCGCGCGCGCACGGCCTCGGGGGCGCGCACGGGCGCGGGGGGGGGGGGCCTCGCGGGCCGACGCCGGGCCGCGTACCTGAGGGCGGCCGAGCGACGGCGGCCACGGCCGGACGGGCGGAGCGCGGAAGGCGCCGGCCCACCTCAGGCCGCGTCCCTCCGGCGAGGAGCCAGGCGCCTCAGCAGTGGCGGAACACAACCGCGGCCGGCGCCCCGCCCCCTCCGGCCTCGCTCATTCGCCGCCGCCGCCGCCGCGCGCCCGTCAGCCGGCCCGCGCCGAGCCTTCGCCTCGGGGGCGCCGCGCGCACGGGGGGCGGGGCCTGCGCCGGTGCGTGGGCGCGGCGTCCCGCCCGCAACCCCGCCCACCGCCGGCCCTGTCGGGAGCGCGCATCCGCGGCGGGCTAGCGGGCGGCGCGTTCGCCGCCTGGCCCCGCCCCCCGGATCGGAGCCCCGCCCCCCGCGCGCGCCGGCTTGCGGGGGAAGTGACGTTGGGGTACGGGGCCGCGAAAGCTGACGGACGCGGTGACCTGCGGTGGAGGAGGGGTGCTCGGTCGCGGCGGGCGAGAAGGGTCGTTTAGGGTGCCCGCTCCCGGGCCGTACGCTGGGGCGGCCGGCGCGCAGGCGGTGACCTTGGCAGGGGGCGGCCGCGGCCTGCCTGCGACCCTGTGTGACCTTGGCCGGGGCGCTGGTCCTCTCGGGTCTCCCTCCAGATGTGCCTGGCGCGACGGGCAGGGCGGTGGAGCCGGCCGCGCGCGCCGGTGCCCGAGGGCCGTGGTGGTCCAGGGCTCCTCCCGGGCAGGAAGAGCGGGGCTCCCGGCCCTCCTGAGCACGGTGGCCCGCTATGACCGGACCTCCGGGGGCGGGGGGGGCCCCCCTGTCCCCGCCGCAGACGCCGCCCTGACGGCTCAAGCTCACTGGGGCGGCACTGAGGCCGCGCACGCGCGTTCCTGGCTGGCCGCGTAACACTCCTGGGCCGGGAGAGGTCATTAGGGACCGCGTGGCCCCGGGCTCCCCCACTGGAGGCCCTGAGCTTTGCATGGGAGTAGTGAGAGGGGTCAGATAGGCGACATCGCTCCCTGCCTGACCCGGGGCTCACCTCGGCCTGGGGGCAGGGGCGGGATTGAGGACGGGGCTCCACACTGGCCAAATGCGCGGGACACCTGGGGGTAGAGCATGAAGCGGGGAGGGGGGTTATTTTTGGGTAGAAAAGGGAATGGCACTTGGGAAGACACCCAAAAGAGGTGAGAGCATGAAGCACCCAGCCTCCCGGGGTTGGGTAAGGGGGGGGGGGTGTCAGGGATGCAGCTCCCAGGCACCAGCCCCGGGGCCCCACAGTCCTAGAAGGACTCGAGCCAAGCCAGCTGTTGCCAAGACTGGCGGGAGAGATGCGGCCGACTGTAAGAGGAGTCCCTGCGGGGCTGGTGCAGGGGCAGAGCCAGGGACACATGAGGGCCATGGGGGCAGGTGCTCAGGCCATTTCCACAGGCAGGCCTGCAAAGCCAGAGGTCATCACTGCCGTCCTTCTAGGCCCTCCAAGAGTCCATCAATACTAGCCAGGTACGCCAAGGATGAGTGGCTCCGGGACCCAGGCCGGAGCAAGACTCGGATACCTGGGAGCGCCTGTGCGAGGGAAGGGGAGCTGGGTTTTCTTTCCTAGCCTACCGGGGCCAGTGACTGGGCCTCAAGTCACCCAGGGCACCTTTGCGTTTATCAAAAGGCTTGTGACTGACCAAGTTCTGTCCGCCTGCCCCTCTCAGCCTTACTGGGACAGTTATCGAAGGCTTCCAGGGGAGGAAGAAATACCGTCTGTGCCCCGTGAACGTCTTTCAGGAGATGTGAGATCATTTCAAACCCTCCTGCAGCCAGGGGCGAAGCTGTGGAGGCGGAGTGGCAGGCCAGAGGTCATCACTGGGTCTCTGCTCACGTGTGGGAGGGTCAGACGGGCCAAGTTTCTTGTCCAGCGCGATGGAATGCGTGTTCCAGCCTGCTGTGGCTTTGTGTCACGGGGCTCGGCCCACACTGGCCGGGAGCCCAGTCATCACCGTGCCATCTGTCAGGCCCGTGCTGTGCATTAGCCAGGGGGAGGGATTCGAATGATCCCCGTGTTACAGACGAGTAAGCAGAGCTTAGAGCAAAGGAAAGTCAGAAGAAAAAGTGAAACTTCAGGTCAAAGAAAATGTTTTAATACGTAGTATTAATCTATTTGTCTTTAGACCAATGCTACCATAAAATGTGATTTTTATGTTTTGTATTGTTTTGTTTTGTTTTTTGGAGGAAGGGCCCACGCATAATGTGGCCCTGAAGGGGTGAGACCAGAGGCGCTGCAGGTCCCTGGGGGAGGCTGTGGGCTTCCTGGGACACGCTTCTGCCACGGCCCGTGGCCACAGCCATCACCCAGCCTAGAAACTAGAGCGCTTAAGTTTTGCAGAGTGGACGGAATCTGGACCGCAGGCTCTCCACGAGAATGAACCCACGCTCGGCACTCGACAGCCGGCCGTTAACCCAGCTCCCTGCTGCTGGCCTCTGCCCCCATCAGGAAGAAGCTGAGCTGTCGCTAATAGACCCCGCTGACGGGAGGCTGTCGATGTTCTCCAGGGAGATAATCGTTCCCACATTTTTATTTTACACGGTTTCCTAGTTCTCTCCCTGCTTAAGGGAGTCAACTCACTTGACCTTTGACACAGGAATTAAAAGTCCCATTTGAAAAGAGGAAGCCAGGGCCCTGCAGGCTGGAGTCATAACCCCAAGAGGGACAGTGCGGGGCCACAGCCGCTGCCCCCACACACCCTGCACCCCCCGCGGCTGCCGCTAGGACGGCTTCTACAGTCCCCCTTGCTCCCTCCGCTCAGCCCTCAGTGCTTCCCGGCATTCAGCTGCCAGCCCCCCGGGGAAACGCTCCCTCCACCGCTCACCAGCCCTCACTGGGGGACTCAAGCAGGCCCACTGAGGCCTCGCCAGGCAAAGGCAGAGATGTCCCAGCCTGCCAGTGGCCATCATCTGACCACCACCGGACAGAACTGCCAAGGCCACGACTCCGCAGGAAGCAAGAGCCAGGTCACGTAGCTTTGCTGCAAATGCTTCTAACTGGCAAGTCTGGGAGGCACTCGAAGAGAGGGAGGTGCAAATGGGGATGTGAGGCAGAGGAGCCTCTCAAGTGACCTGCCCCGTCTTATCCCAGAAGGAGCCACAAGACAGTATTTTTGGCCTTTCGTTCAGTATGCGGTCTGTCCATAGGTGTTCGCTAGGCAACTCCATGTTATACCAGCTTCCTTGTTGCAGGACTTATCAGAGCCGTCAATGTGCCGATGTCACTGGGCAGCTCTAAGGAGAATGGAATGCAGCTTTGCCGGAGTTAAGTGAACTTCTGATCCCAGAGCATCTCAGGCCGGACTTTGAGGGAAGCTTTTTATAAACGCCACAGGGCGGGGGAGCCTAAATGGTTTCCGCACAGGAGGGCTCATCTAACTCAGGAGCTGAGCTCCAGGAGAGAGACTAACCTGGGATGCCCTGGCCTGCCCTCCACTGCTGTCCCCAGTATTCACGGGAGCAGCCTGCGGTGCTGATGCAAGGCTGGGGGCCCGTCCACATTAACGCCTCTGACGTGCAGGCAGCCACTCCCCCTCTGCAGAGTGTCCTTGCATCCAGTCAATCCTGGGCATGCTCATTTCCCATTTTGCAGATGAGAAAACTGAGGCCCAGAGAGGCTGTAAGCTGTGTGCCAGAGGTGGGTGTGGAAATGAGCACCAGCCTGGCAGCCACCGGGGTGGCCAGGGAAGCGGCTGTCGTCCAGACTGAGCGAGGGCTCGGCCATGACTCCAGGGCACCGTGCACACACCTGGGCCATGGGCACACCTTGGGGCCTCCCTCCCGGACCTGCAACCCTTAGAGCTTCGGGCTCTAGGCCATTTTTGTGACCTTGGTTTGCATAATGTGTCCTGTGTTCTGGCAGGGAGTGGGCACAGGACCTGAGGGACCGGGACACCGAGACTGTGGGGTGATCCTCTGGGGAAAGGCCCTCCTCCAGAGCAGGGGTGCACAGGCTGGGCTGAGAGGAGGACCACCGCCCTGCGCAGGTAATGGAAGCAGGGGCCCCCAGGGAACAGCAGCAGTCGAGATTTGGTCTGGAGGCCCAGCAGGGAGCCCTCAGGCAGGTGAAGCTCGGGGCTCAGGGCGCAAGGGGCAGCAGGGGCAGAGCCAGTTTTTTGTGAAGGTTTTCACTCGGTGCCATAAAAGCCCAACAGACAAGTGTCCAGACACCTGCTGTTCACAGGGAGCGCACCCACACAGCTGGGTCTGAGCCCTCACCACGGGGCCGAGAACCCACGTCACACCCACAACTGCAGGGTCCCTGGCCGCTGCCCCATGGCTGTGCTGTAACGCTGGGGGGAGGGGGGCTGCACCCCCACACACACACAGCCCCAGAGGGCTCACCGTTCGCACGCCCGCTCGCCCGCTCCTGGGAACCGTCCCCGAACACACAAACGCATCTGCGCTAAGTAAAAGGCTGGAAAAAGAGAACTCCCGTCAAAGAAAGCTGGAGCCGCTGCCCTCACTCGTGGGGAGACGGGGAGGAGCCCTGCGGGAGCCCCTCTGCCGCTCCGCTCAGGTCACTGTGGGGCTTGGATGTGGGGGGCGGGAGGGGGTGGGGCTCGGACACGGAGGCGCACGGGAGCCAAGGCACCTGAGGCGGCAGCAAGGACTCCCGGCGCGACCCCGGTGATCACGATGTTTCTCGGAGGACCTCACCAGGGGTGTGAGCAGAGCCATCTGTCCGAATGTCCGTGTCCCTGAGACCCAACCTGGGTGCTTTTGCTCATCTCGTTAAAGATGCTTGAGGTAACTGGTTTCCTTTTATTTTCCCGCAGGCTTTTTCAGAAGTGCTTTTTTTTTTTTAAACAAATCCGTATGGCTCCCCCCCGCCCCTTACTTAGGTCTGCTATCAGCTGCTTTGCTGAGCTGGCCTAGTATGCCTGCCTCACAAACGCGTTAGCCACGGTGAACTCTCTTCATCTCTGTAACAGTTCGTCTTGCTTCTCCCTAATGACGTTTTATTTGCTCCCCCTGTAAACAACAGAGGTAGAAAAACAAATTGCTTACCACGGGGGGGGGGGGAAGGCTGGGAGAGTTACCAGGCAGCAAGAAAGACGTCTTCTAAGGAGAAGAGGATTGTTTCTTCAGAAAGATGCAAGGACCCTAAGAGCAGGGCTCAGAGACACATGAAGTAAAAAGCCAACGGAACTAAGGGGAGACACAGGCAGACCCACAATTATATGTGGAAATTTCAACACTCCTCTCGGCCCGTGGAGAGCGGCTTACAGAGCAAGTCGGTCTGAAAACTCAGGAGGGATGCCGCGCACATCAACACCACTCCCCACCAGTTTCAGCCCGTTCTCCAGCGCACCTGGAACATTCTTCACGACAGACCGCGTGCTGGGTCACCATCTACTGAACACACCTAACAGGACAGAAATCCGACAGAAATCCTACAGGGCCCATCCTCTGACTACAACAGAATTAAACAAGAAGCCGGTAACAGAAATATATTTAAAAATACACAAAAGGCACAAACAATAAAGTTTCTAAAAAAACTGATAAATTGAACTTTATCAACATTGAAAATATTTGCTCTTCAAAAACCACTGCTTTAAAAATGAAGAGGCAGGGTGCCTGGGTGGCTCAGTTGGTTGAGCGACTGCCTTCGGCTCAGGTCATGATCCTGGAGTCCCGGGATCGAGTCCCGCATCGGGCTCCCTGCTCGGCGGGGAGTCTGCTTCTCCCTCTGACCCTCCTTTCTCTCATGCTCTCTGTCTCTCATTCTCTCTCTCTCAAATAAATAAAATCTAAAAAAAAAAAAAAAAAAAGAAGAGGCAGCGATGGTGAACAGTACAGGGCTTTTTCAAAACACTACAGACAGACTACCGTGTGACCCAGCAAGTGCACCTCTGGGTGTCTATAAACCCAAAGAACGGAAGATCGGGTCTTGAAGAGATATTTGTAAGCTGTTCATAGTAGCAATATTCACAACAACCCGAAGGAGGAAGTAACTCAAATGCCCGTCGATGGATAAACAAGTGTCGCCCATCCGTCCAGTGGAATATCACGCAGCCTTCAAAAGGAAGGACGTTCTGCGGCCCGTTAGAACAGGGATGAGACTTGGGGCACTGTGCTCGGTGAAACAGGCCAAGAACAGGACAAATGCTATCTTACCGTATGAACAGGGACAAATGCGGTACTGTAATATATCCATGTATCTCTTTGTATACTGTTGCTTCTTTCTCCAGACCCGACTACAGATGCTAAACATAACGGATGAACAGCGTATTGACAGTTTCAAAATACTGCCCCCAAGACACCCGCCTTCATCAGAGGAAGAGGGCAACTCTGGAGCATCCTCACCCAGAGTCCACAGATGGCCGCAGGGCCCCCCCTGGTGGCGCACATTCTGTGGGTCTGGACACGGGCATCAGGACAGGTGCCCACCACCGCAGCACCACCCAGAGTTGCTCCCCGGCCCCCACATCCCCCGTGCTCCCCCTGCTCCCCCTCCTGCCCCCAACCCCTGACAACCGCCGATCCTGGTGCTGTCTGTGTGGTTCTGCCTTTTCCGGGATGTCCCACAGCCTGGATGCTCACTCATTTTTGATATTTACATAGTAAAGAAATGATGCAGCTTTCTTTTCTGGCTTCTATTTGTTTGCTTTATGATTACCGAACTAAAAACAGGAGGTACGGGGCACTGGCCTCAGGGACAGATGTGTATCAGAGCCCTGGGAAGAAGGGCTGGTTTAGACGCTGCATAGCCGCAGTTAGGTTCCAGAACCGACAGCTCGATTTTCACCTGCTCCTCTTGGTCAGCCTCGGGGCTCAGGGTTCCAGAGCCCTCCGATCACCCACTGCCTCTGCTCGCCTTCCCCTGGGCCAGTTTGGTGGACTCGGCAGTGCCAAGGAGAGGGGTGGTAGCCCAAGCCTGGCCCAAGGCCGTCTTCCTCAAAAATTCCTTTTATTTAAGATCATTCCCCGTGCTTTGGACGGTCAGTCTCCTTTCCCCATCCGAAAGGTTATATACACTTTTTCCAAAATCATCTTCTAAGATGAGAGAGGGAGTGGGTACTGTCGGCAAGCCTGCTGGCCCCATGGCACAGCTCATTCAGGTTGGGCCAGAGACAGATCGTCCCCTCCACTCACCAGCTCGCGAGCGAGACCTGGCTCTCATCATCTCCCAAAAGTGGCCCATCTCTTGCTTTTTCTAAAATATCGTTATGAGCTTGTGCATGTAAACCATTTTGATGGGTTTTAATTTGTTGCACTTCTTGTCCCCACTGAAAATCAAACTGTCCCGGCTTTGGCTGGTGCAGCGGTCTCTTCGGGTCACTGCTGAGTCCTCTGGGTGTGACCCTCCTAGACCTTCCTGGAAGCCCAGGCTCATCGCCGACATCTCCACACCTGGGATCAGCCACTCTGCCAAGAGGCCCTCATGGTGACTCACGATATTTCAAGACCACAGCATGGGGGCAAAGGATGGTCACTGCCCTGGGCTGGTCACTGTTTCTAGAGCAGCAAGAGCGGGGGCGGGGGGGGGTAAAGATGACACAGCTTAGATATGGATGTGGGTTAAGTCTACATTAGATATAGACTAGAGATAAGATTTAGATCAGATGTCGATATGGTGGGACACAGACTAGATACACGGTCACATACGGACGAGACCCACATGCACAGCACGTACAGACTCCTGGTGGCCACTTTCCACCGTGTTACATGAACGGAGTCAAGCAGCTCGCAGCCTCTCAGACTGGCTTCTCTGCGGGCTCACTGTGCTGCGCGTCTGGACAGCTCGCCCCCATCTGCGGCTGAGCCGGACTCCGCATCGAACCGCTCACCTGCCGAGTTTGGCAGATCCCAGACCACACAGCTCTTCCGGAAGCTCCTCTCCACTGGGAGCAGGTGTGTCTCCTTTCTCCCCCACGGAGGATGCTGGAAGATCCCGTAACTTCTCACTGGGATTTCCAACAGTGCCAGAGCAGTGAGGCTGGTACCCACCACGGGATCGCTACCAACACGAGCCTCGTGTCTGCCCCTCCTCCCCTGGCCTGTTGCTAAGATTTTATCTGTCAGAGCACGTGCGCACAGGCAGGGGGAGCAGCAGGCAGAGGGGCCCCCCTCCTTCTCAGCATCCACCAGAGCCCACGCCCCGCCCGCTTGGCGCTCTTCGGCGGACCGCGTGTCCTGGTGCCACAGCCAACCACGCATGTACCAGCAGGATGGCTAAGAAAACTGGCCCGATCTTATCGGCTGGCACAGTTCATTTTCCGGAAGATTCCTCAGGAAGGGCTCCCAGGAGCAGGTTCTCAGATTTCAGAGTTCTCCCAAGTGGGGAACAGTGCTCTGTGCCCTTTATACTTGAAAGTTGAGTTTTCCGGATATAAAATCCTTGGTGCACATTTTCCTTCTTCAAGTCTCTTAAACATGCTACTACTCCGTCATCTCCTACCGTAAAGCACTTCTGTTGAGAACTCTGATAATCTGGGGCTCCTGGGGGGCTCGGTCGGTTAGGCGTCTGCCTCCGGCTCAGGTCATGATCCCGGGGTCCCTGCTCAGCGGGGAGCCTGCTTCTCCCTCTGCTTCTCCCCCTGCTCGTGCTCTCTGACAAAATCTTAAAAAATAATTTTTAAAAAAGAAGTCTGATAATCTAATGCCTTCCCTTATAAATAATATGCTTTTTTCTAAGATGTCCAGAGGATTTTTCTTTTTCTTTAAAGTCCAGTAATTTTGCTAGAACATGTCTTGGTGTTGGTCATTCTGGGCCAGTATGTTCAGGATGTGGCATGCTTTCAGTGTGTGGTTTCGAATCTTGTGTATTTCAGAAAAGTCTCCGGGAATGGTCATTCCCTGTAGGAAAGGTCTTGCAAAAGGAGAGTACTCTCACACCGACCGGGGTCCCGGCGACACAGTCCCCGCGAGGATCCCGTGCGCAGCCCTGGCAGCAGCCGTGGTTCCACCGTTCACCTGCTCAAGGGCGTCTGGCTTGTCTCCAGTTTGGGGAAGCTACGATTCCAAGTGCAATGAACGTTCACATACCGGTTTTTGTGCAAATGTGTCTTTTCCCTCTGGGATTAATGTCCAGGAACACAGGACTGGGCTTTACGGAGGCTGTGTGTTCAGTTTTTAAGAAATCAGCAGACCATTCAGCCTCCCACCAGCGCAGCCAGGAGGCCGCGCCCGGTGCTCAGCCGCGTTCAGTGTTGGTACTAAGGACCGCCGGCCACCCAGCAGGTGGTTTTCAGATGCGTGTCCCTGAGGACAGTCCCGTCCTCAGGCTCCTCTGCCATCCGGGTGCCCCTCCAGTGAAACCTCCACTCGCCCTCTTGCTCCCTTTTTTTTTTTAAGGTTTTATTTATTTATCTGAGAGAGAGAGAGAGAGAGAGAGAGAGAACGAGCAGGGAGGGGGCAGGGGAGAGGGAGAAGCAGGCTCCCCGCTCCGAGCGGAGCCCGGCCTGGGACTCAACCCCAGGACCCTGAGATCATGACCGAAGGCAGACGCTTCACTGAATGAGGCGCCCCCTCTTCACTCACTTTCTAGGTGGACTGATTTTGAGTTTTAAGACTTTTGATATATTCTGGATACAGGTCCTATGAAGTGCGTGGTTTACAAAGGTTTTTCTCATCATCTGTAGTTTGTCTTTCCATCCTCCTAACAGGCTCCGTCACAGAACAAAAGCTTTTAACTGTGATGAGGTCCATTTTAGTAATGCTTCCTTTCATGGATCATGCCTTTGGGGTCAAGACTAAGAACTCTGCCCAGCTCTAGAGTGCAGTGATTTTCTACAAGTTTTACACTTTACATCTAAGAAGCCTGTGGCCCATTTTAAGTTAACTTTTGTACAACATGTGAGATTTAGGTTGTGGCCCATGGCCGTGGATGCCCAACTGCCCACGAGGGCCCTCTGACTTCTAAAACGGCTCCAACAGTCCCTTCCCGGTCTCATATTCCTGTGTGACCCCCTCCCCTTGAGTGTCGGCTGGCCGGTGACTTGCTGCTAATCAACAGAGGTGACAGGCTGTCACTCCCGAAATCAAGTTACACAGGCCCGTGACCTCCACCTGGCTGGCTCTCTCCCTGCCTGCTCTTCGCAAGCTGCGATATGGAGAAGCCACCCAGTGAGGAACAGAAGCCACCTCCGGCCACTGCATGTGAGTGGGGCTGGACACGGACCCTTCCCCAGTCAAGCCTGCAGATGAGACCCCAGCCCCAGCCCACTTCTGGACTGCAGTCCTGCGAGAGCCCGAAGGAGAGGACCCAACTAAGCCACAGAAACGGACATTCGGTCATTCTTGTGAGCCACTAAGTTTCGGGGAAACCTGCTGTGCATCAAGAGATGACTCGTATGGCCTCACACCGCCTGCCTGCGTCAACCACAGGCCCAAGGAGACTGGAAGGAAGTCCCTCTGGAAACTCAAATTCTGCCTTTTCCCCAGAGTGCACACCAACACTGGAAAGCACTCTCAAAATCACCTTCGGGCCACTGGGGAACATGTGACATGGCCCACACATGGCCTGGCACTGACTTGGGGGGTAGCATGCACTGGCCTGAGCCCTGGGACCCCTCCCCGGGCACACCCACCCACATCTCGGCCTCCGTGAAACGGCTAGAATGCCTCTTGGTCCTCGGCTTCCCGCTTCTAAAGGCCTGCTTTCTGCCCGAAGACCGTCCCTGCCCTGAGTGGTAGTGAAGGAACGAACTGACGTGCAGGGCTGCGGTGATGCGTTAAGTGGGCCTCCCGGCAGCCACAGCTGCTCATGTGGCATTCACTGTCTCCTTGAATCCCCCAGATGTCCTAT